GGTACATGGAGGGGATTATAATCATTGTAATGAAACAAGGTATATGATTTGTTGACTGTAAAACTGATGATCTGCCCTGTAAACTTTCATTCAATTCACAATAAAAATCTTAAAACAAAACAAAACAAAAAAACAAGGAAAGAAAGAAGAGACCAAAACGGATGTCAGAAGAGACTCTGAAACTTGCTGTTGAATGCAGAGAAACTAACATAATGGCAGAAATTATGAAGTAAAAGAGCTGAACAGAAAATTTCAATGGGCAGCTACAGAAGACAAAGTAAAGTTTTATGAAATGTGCTAAGACCCAGAGTTAGAAAACCAAGAGGGAAGACCACACTGAGCCTTTCTCAGGTTGAAAGAACTGAAGAAAAAATCCAAGCCTCAAGTTGCAGTATTGTAGGATTCAATGGAGTGGCACTGTAAGATAAACACTGGACCACAAAATCAGTTTGAATTGCAACATTGGTGGTTCAAACCCACCAGTCACTCCTTGGAAACCCTATACAGCGTGGCTATGAGTTGGAACAGATTCAATGGCACTTAACAGCAGCAACATGGACAAAATAATGAATGATGCTCGAAGCATCCAAAGACGATGGAAGGACACACAAAGTCACTGTACCCATAACAATTAGTTAATGTTCAATTATTTCAAGAGATTGCATATGATGAAGTACCAGTGGTATGGAAGGACTGAAGGAAGAAGTCCAAGCTGCCTTGAAGGCATTAGTGAACAACAAGGTTCCAGGAATGAACAGAATACTAATTGAAACATTTCAACAAACTGGTACAGCACTGGAGACGCTCACTCATCTATGCCAAGAAATTTGGAAGACAACTACCTGACCATTAGAGTGGAAGAGATCCATATTTGTGCCCATTTCAAAGAAAGATGACCCAAAAGAATGCAAAACTCCTTGAACAATATCATTATTATCACATGCAAGTAAACTTTTGCAGAAGATAATTCAAAAATGGTTGCAGCAATATATTGGTAAGATGCTGTCAGAAATCCAAATTGGACCCAGAAGAAGACATGGAATGAGGACTATCAATGTCAGATGTTAAGAGTTAATTCCGACTCATAGTGATCCTGTTTAGGATTTCTGATGCCAGATGAGTCTTGGCTGAAAGCAAGAGCAATATTATATCAATTTCAATATTATCATATTATAAAAAGCAGAGAATTCCAGAAAGATGTTTGCTTGTGTTTTATTGACTATGCAAAGACATTTGACTGTGTGGATCATAACAAGCTATGGATAACATTGTGAAGAAGAGGAACTCCAGACACTTCATTGTGTGCATAGGGAACTTGTATATAGACCAAGAGGCAGTCATTTGAACAGAACAAGGGGATACTGAATGGTTCCAAATCAGGAAAAGTGTTTGTCAGGGTTATAGCCTTTCACCATATTTATTCAATCTGAGAAGCTGGATTTATGAAGAACATGGTATCAGGGTTAGAGGAAGACTCATTGACAACCTGATGGTGGTGGCAGTTGTGTGTCACTGTCGGTTCCGACTCACAGTGACCTTGTATATATAGGGTTTCCGAGGCTGTAAATCTTTATGGGACCAGAAAGCCTCATCTTTCTCCAGTAGATTCAAACTTATGACCTTGGGGTTAGCAGCCCAGCTTGTAATCCACTGCACTACCACGGCTCCTTTGGACCACAATACTTGTGTATAAAAGGGGAGGGTCATCTCAGAGGACTGGAGCCTCGGATTACCCCTAGAAGTAAAGAATTAATTGTCATCATTTTGACATGGTCCTTTGTCTGTGGACCCTTAAAGTGGCTGCAGCAGAAAGCTAGTGGAGAAGTCCAGAATGGGCTGAGAAGTGTGAAGGGCTTCAGGGATATCCTAAAGACCTTGAGAGTGGCAGCTCAGCCCAGTTATCTAGTTCAGGACCTCAGGTATTTCCTCACACAGACCTCATTAGATCAGTGCTGTGTTGTATTGATTTGTATACTCTGGGCCAAATCACAAATACCAACGTGTAATAATTTCATGTTGTGAGAATCTGAGAAGTGAACATTGTCCAGATACTTTTCTGGTTTTATGAGCCCATGCCCCGCTCTCAGCTGTGACCTTCGTCACATGACTGCCTGTGAGAAACTAGCGCCCCCTGCGCCTTCAATGTCAGAGTCCTCAGCCAATGACAGGGGCAGGTGTAAACACTCAACCTCAACGGGGGACATCTCAGGTGCCACTTCTGCTCTAGAACTTGTGGGGATCAGGCTGAGGCTTCACCTGGAGTCACACCCTTGTTTGGTTTCATCCCCATCCCTGTCCTGCTTCCCCTACTCCCTTACTCGTTTCTCTTGGAGGCACTTTCTTAATAAATCCTCATCTCAGGGTCTGCTTTTGGGGAAACTCCACCAGAGAAACACAGTTAGATTTTATTGTGGACGTTGATTTTGACCTGGGGTGTTTGTTGGCCATGTAATCAAACCCAAAGCAAAGTTGCTGCTGAGTCGATTCCCACTTATGGCAACCCTATGTGCTGCAGAGTAGAACTGTGCTCTAGGAGGCTCTCATGGCTGTAGCACTTTGGAAGCAGATCTCTCGGTCTTTCCCACAAGGCACTTCTTGGTGGGTTTGAATAACCAATCTTTAGGTTAGGAGTCAAGTGCTTAACCATTTGTGCCACCCAGGGTCAAGTAATATATGCAGGGAGATTCAGAAGCTTTGCAATACCATTGCTAAGCCCTGATGGTAGGCTCACAGTAACGCTTGTTACAGGGCCAGGAGAGTCTGCGTGTGGCCACCACCACCCCAGCCCACATCCATGAAGCAGCAAAGAACACCACGCCAACAGCCACTTGCTTCCCCATTGACCGTTTACTTTATTGCTGGTTATTCCGACTCTTCCCCAAACATCTTTCCATCCCCTTCCATCAAGGCCTCTTTCCAGAAATTTGCAACTGTCTCCTGCTTCTTGCCATCTTACATAAAACACATTGAAATAAAGATCGAAACAGGAACTTGGCTGAGTTTTGCAACACAGAAGTGTATTCTAGGCCTACATTTATAGTAAGTGGGGGTGGGTAAGAGCGGTGTGTCAACGGGGGTGGTGGGGTGGGGTGGGGTGGGGTGGAGTGGTCACACAAGGATAATCACACAGGGTGAGCAAGCGAACTGGAAACAGGTTTCTGAGTTCCAAGGGCTTCAAAAAACATCAGTATTCAAAAAAAAAAAAAAAAAGAAAATCAATAAAGCTAGGAGAACTTTACACTGTTTCTACATGGGAGACACTCACTCACTTCCCTTTTAGACTAGAAAAAAGATGAACAAACCCACATTAGCCAAACACACATATACATGACAAATTCCAAATCTCCAGTCCCCCTCCCTTCTGCTACTGCTGAGGCAATTCTGACTCCTAAGGAGCCCATGGGACAAAGTGGGACTGCCTCATAGGGTTTCTAAGGCAGTCATTGCCAAGGAAGCAGACTGCCATATCCTTCTCCCTAGGACCAGCTGGTGGGTTTGAACTGCCAATCTTTTGGTTGGCAGCTGAGTGCTTACACTGCACCACCAGGGCAACTTAAATCTCTAGATAAACACCCTCTAATAAGGCTTTTGGTGTCTTCAGCTCTGGGGCTGGAGAGGGCTGGGACTCTGACACAAAGGCAAGGGCCACTGACCCCATAGACAGGACAGCTTCTGGGGGCTTCTAGGAGTTGGGCCTGTCAGGTGGTGCTGACCTAGTTCAATAGGATAGGGGTCTGTTTAAAGACAACCCCCATCCCATTTCATTGAGATAGTGACTTTGGGCCCTGGACATTTCCTGAATAGAGTGGTTGGCATTCCTAAAGAGTAGAGCACTAGTGGGCATTGCACGTTAGGGACAGAGCCGCTCAAGGAGGGCAGGGGCCTGGTCTGGTGTGCTAAGACTGCATCCTCAGAGGCCAGCACTATATCTGGCACTTGGTTTTACACTGTAACAAACATCTGTTGAATGACTGAACAAAAGAATCCAAAATGAAAATCCTTGTTCTTTCAAAAATACAAATTTATAACCTTTGGGCTAGTTGTAAACTGGTTGTTTTTAACCTTTAAAGTGGAACTGTGATTCAATCAATATTCTGACATTAACTGGCCCTAAAGGAACTTTTTGAAAAGTTGAAACTCAATCTTTTCAGTTGGTGTCAGGAATTGATCTGTTTCTGTCCTAGGGAGAGGGTCTTTTACAAATGTGCGGGTGGATTTCAATAATCCATCTCTAAGGACAGCAGATGGCCTAGAAGTGACCAGGCTGCAGGCCTATGCCAGGAGAAGAGGGGCAGGCTGTATGTATCATTTATGCTCTGGGGGAAGGTTTGAGCCTGGTTCGTCATGAACATGGATATGGCTGACCTCCGGGTATGTTTGTACACTAGACTCTTGGGCCACGAGGATGCGGGTCTGGAGAGAAACCTGTCTCTCACATGTAGATGGCTGCTCTGATGGCATCGGTTTCCAGGGAAAGTCCTAGGCTAAGTTATTGGACCCTCATGGAGTGGGGAGGGTTAGCCAATGGTGTCTACACTGCAGAGAGAAAGTTAGGAGGGGTTGACAGAGGCAGGGGAGGAATGAAAGATTGGGGGCAGCCACCAGGAAACCCGGAGGGAGGTGACTTTAAAATGATGATGGCAGTTCAAGGTATGCCTGGGGTCCCAAGCGCTCTACCCTGAACTTCAGAGCAAGGCTACCTGCCTTATCAGTTTGGACCAGGCATTGAGGGTTTGGGGGGGATGGCATTATGTTTCATTTTTTTTTTCATGTTAAAGCTTTGCAGACATGGTCAGATGCCCAGGTACTTTCAGGAAGCACAGAGCTGAGGTTCACCTCCTCTGAGAGGGCAAGGCACCGATGCCCCGGATCCTACTGCACTTCCTGAAGTGTCCCCATGGGACAGTCTGGCCCCAGTCAGGCAGGTGGGGGCTCTGGGGAGGGGTGTGAGGGGTCTGGAGAGCATGGGGGAGTAGGAAAGCACCAACCATCCCTGCAGGTCAGGGTACCATGTGCCACCACTTGAAGGGAAAGGGCTTCCGGCAGACGTTGGTGCCGCAGTGCACCTCCCCCAGAAACTTGTGGTAGGCAGAAATGTCATCAATGAAGGTGCATTCGAAGCCCAGCGGCTCCATCAGGGAGCGCATGTGTGTCTCCAGGCAGCACACTTCCTCCACCTGGGGCCCGAACGGCTTGGGGATGCCCAGGTCCTTGTCAAGGATGATCATGTTCACCTGTGACAGGGGGTTGTAGCAACAGCTCCTATTGAGTGAGCGCCTGCTATCTGCCTGGCACTTGCCTAATTAAGCTCACTAAGCTCTCATAACAACCCCTATGACTTAGGTACTATTGTTTTCCCCAATTTATAGATGACAAAACTGAGGCACAGAGGGGCTTAGTAACTCATAAATGTCAGAGCTGAAGTGGAAAACTACGCAACCTACTTTTATGGGGATGTGTGTGCAAAGATATAGATACATGTGTGCATTATGTATGTGAAAGCTGGACAGTGAATAAGGAAGACCGTAGAAGAATTGACACATTTGAGTTATGGTGTTGGAGGAGAATACTGAAAATGCCATGGGCTGCCAAAAGAGCAAACAGATCTGTGTTGGAAGAAGTGCAGCCAGAATGCTCCTTGGAGGCCAGAATGGCCAAACTTCGTGTCTCATACTTCAGAAATATTGTCAGGAGGGACCAGTCACTGGAGAAGGACATCATGTTTGGTAAGGTGGAGGGCCAGCGAAATGGATTGGCCAAGTGGCAGCATCAATGGGTTCAAGCGTGGCACTAATTGTGAGGTTGGCCCAGGACCAGGCAGTGTTTTGTTCTGTTGTACATAGTTGAGTTGGTACAGACTTGATGGCACCTAACAACAACATTATGTATACATGTGTATGCACAATTATCTAGACATAGCTACTATGTACAGTGTACATCTAAATGCATGTGTGGGCATATGTGTATTTGTGTTTATATATGTATGTCTATGTAAGCATGTATGTATATATGTATCTAGCTATGTATTGTGCTAGTTACTATTGAATCAGCTCCGAATCACAGCAGCCTCATGCAGAACAGAAGGGAATGTGCCACCGCCTGTCAGTTTGTTGTAATGTGGTGGCTCGCATGCTGTTATGATGCTGGAAGCTAGGGCACCAGTATATCAAATACCAGCAGAGTCACCGTGGTGGACACATTTCAGAGGAGGTTCTAGACTAACAAAGACTAGGAAGAGAGGCCTGGTGATCTACTTCCAAAAATTAGTCAATGAAAACCTATGAGTTATAGATATTCATGTGTATATATGTATGCGCATGTGTGTGTCTATATATCTAATTATGTGTATATATGTATAGGTGTGAGAAGGTGTGTAGATATGTATCTGGTCTTACATGTTATTCTTGTTGTTAATTGTGCTGAGTCATTTCCGACTCATAGTGACCTTGTATAGGGTTTCTAAGGCAGCAAATCTTTCTGGGAGCAGAAAGCCTCATCTTTCCTGTGGAGTGCTTAGCCTACGGGCCGCCACTGTGCTCCTCTGATTGGACATATGTATGTTATATATGGAGCTTTGGTGTGACGTTATAGGATCAGCACTGGACTGCCGACCGCAAGGTTGGCAGTTCAAACTCACCAGCCACTCCTCTGACACTCTATACAGGGTGGCTATGACTTGGAACCGACTCAACAGCATTTAACAACAGCAACATATATGTGTGGGCAGGTGTGTATATATGTATTTTATTATATTTATGTACATGTATATGAAAGGACTTGTAGTGGTTACAAGTTGGGCTGCTTAACCTCAAGGTCAGCAGTTTGAAACTACCAGGCGTTCTGTGGGAGAAAGGTGAGGCTTTCTGCTCCTGTAAAGATTTACAGCCTTGGAAACCCTATGCAGGGTCTCTATGAGTCAGAACCGACTCCACGGCACACTATCACCATCACCAGCACATGTATGTGAATGTGTATATATGTGTCTGATTATATATGTATGGGAGTCCTGGTGTAATGCTGCAGGATAATGCGCTGAACCACAAGGTCAGCAGTTTAAACTCACCAGTCACTCCTAGGAAACCCTACACAGTTACTGCTGAGTCAGTACTGACTTGATGGCACTTAACAACACCAACAATGTATATGTGTGAGCATATGTGTGTATGTATATGTATGTTGTTGGTGTTGTTAAGTGCCATCTAGTCGGTTCTGACCCATGGCGACCCTGTATAGGGTTTCCGAGGAGCAGCTGGTGAGCTTGAACTGCCAACCTTGCAGTTCAAATGGCTTTGCAGTCTGGCGCATTAACACACAGAGCCACACCAGGACTCCGTGTATATATATATATATATATATGTATATATATAAATATAAAACCATATACAAGGGGGCTTCAAAAAGTTTGTGGAAAAATTTCATTATCTTTTAATTCCAGTTTTCCATGAACTTTTTGAAGTCCTTTCATATATGTATGTGTATATGTGTGAGCATGCATGTATACATTTATCTGATTATGTCCACGTACATGTGTGTGTGTGTGACTGTGTATGTATGTTCCTGGCTATAGACATGCATGTGTACATATGTATCTGATTATGTGTATATATATTATTCTAACCTCTCTCTAGCTCATGGGGGGCTTAACTCGATAACAAAAATCCCTCCTTTGCATAAAGGACCTTTAAACTTTTACAAAACCCTTTTCTCCCAGTACCCCAGTGAGGAGCAGGGTAACCTATTACTCCTAGGAGGGAATAGAGACCCAGGAAGGGAAGTACTTGGGGTGATTCAAGTGAAGCCACGTCATAGCTCAGCCAAGTCTGCCCCTCCCACCCCAGCTCCAAGGGTCCCTTCTGGATCTGGCTGCCTCTATTTGTTTTGGGTTGGGGACCCTCACCATGTTTGGGAAGTAGGCTCTGGCCTGGCGGTCCTCGTCCATCTTGAACAGAGCGGGCAGGTCAATGATGTCCTGCTCTGTCAGTCCCAGCTCCTTCTTGAGGATGTCTCGGTTCCAGTCCAGGCAGCGCTGGACAGGGGAAGGAGGGAGGGCAGGCAGGTGAGGGGACACACCCCTGCCACCCATGCCTGTCCTTGCCATCATCATTAACCCTACCCTGTCTGCAGCATCAGGTCAGGGGGCTAGGTGCACACCACCTCTCCCAGTGTGCCTCTCCACCAGGCTAATGACCAGTAGTGATTAATAACAACCACAAAGAGGAAGACCACAGAGAAAATAAGGGCCGCTGCCATTTATTGAGCACTTCCTACAAGCCAGTTGTTGTTGTTGTTAAGTACTGTAGCGTTGGTTCCAAGAGCCCGTGTCAAATACTTTTTGCACAGTACCTCAGTGAATTCTCAGAATACCCAGTAAAGTAAGAACAACACTGAAGATGATATTGATAATAATTAAAGCTATCATGTAATAAAAGCTGGTCACTGTTCTAAATGCTTTATGTATAATCCTTTTTTAAGTCTCACAAAGACTCCATGAGGCAGACACTATGGCTAGCCCTCCTTTATTCCCAAAGGTGAGAAAATCAAAGACTGAGAGTCCTTGGTGACTTGTCCAAGTCCGCTACTAGAAGTTGTGGGGCTAGGATTTAACATCAGATCTACTTAACGTCAAGAAGTCTTAATACATTTAAGTTTCAAGTAGTCAGAGGCCAGGAAGTGAAGAGAAATGGACCTGGAGCCCTGATCAACCTGTGTCTGAAACCCAAACCATTGCTGGACTTTCCATTTATATGAGTTAAGAATGCCTTTTTGTTTAAACCTGTCTTTGTGAACTGTAGTGATCCATGCAGTTGCTTCCCTGGTATGCATTCTACCTCCCCCCCACCCCCAACCCTCACCCCCACATCACAGCAGTCATGTTGTTAAGTTAGATTGAGCCCACCCTTACCTCCAAGTGAAAGCTGATTAGTGTACTCTCACCCCTATCTCTTAGCCAGGGATGAGCAGTAAACCAGGATTAAGCTAATCAGGATATGGAATCCCCTTGGCCACAGTGATTGGTTCAGGTTGGTCCAATCAGGGTAGAATGTGTTCAGTTGTTCAATTGCTCACTAGTTGTGGATAGTACTAGATGGGTGTGAACCCTTTAATTGTTCCACCCATAAGCCTAGCATGAGGGCACCTGCAGAGCCAAGAAGTGCAGAGAAATGGAGCTGGAGCCTGGATCAACCTATGCCTGAAACCCACACTACTGCTGGGCTTTTCATGCATATTAGACAAAAATGCCATTTTGTTTAAATGCTTATTTAAAAACAAACAAAACTTGGCCCTTTAAAATTTGCCAATACAAATAAAAGGAAGTTTAACTCAATAATACAACTCCCTTGACTAGCTTCTATTCTGGATACAAACTTTAAGACTTAGGGGATCGGGAGGTGGGGTCTGTCCATAGACAGAAAACTTCAGGAAACTGATTTCCCTGAAACAATTAAAAATTTAGCTCATGATCATACATTGTTCTTTTTTTTTTTTGGAGAACAAATCTGTTGTTTTCACCAAAAGAGGCATGCCTCCCCCAAAGGTTATGGGCTCTAGCCTTAAGGAGACCTTGCCTGTCTGGTATTGCCTTCCTTTCCAGGTCTCCTGCCAGCTGGTAGCCTTGGCTCACTTGCACATTCCCTGGCAGCTTCCGCATAGGAGTTAAGAGAGGAGGCTGGACGCAATGTTTATTGGTTTATTGAGCAAGCCCTTAGCTATGCTCCTGCAACTGGGCAGAAGCCTCTGAGTTTTTGGTCATTTTCATGGAGCCCAGGGGATGTGAGGTGTGCCATTAGGCACAGCTTGGTCCTTCCTGATCCCTCTGCCCCAGCCCCCACCCTCACTGGACCCCCGGCCCGTCCTCACCTGGAAGTACAGGTTTTCCTGCACCAGGCTCTCATTGGACAGAATCTTGTTGATGGTGATTCGCTTGCCGCTCATCCCGGCCAAGCCTGTGGGAGTTAGAGGGCAAGCGAGGGCAGTGGCGTCACTAGAAGGGTGGGGAGACTTGGACTGCACCCCTTGACACTGTCAGAAGGGGTGACACCAAAATGACCCCAGGGTGGGCGGAGGCAGTGGGTGGGTCAGCGTAAAAGAGGAGGGGCCTCCAAGGCAGTAGCATCTCCAGGGGCGGAGTCACTCACTCCCACCCTCCCATCTCCTATCAGTCAGGATGTGGCTGGTGGGCGGAGGTGCCTGCCCATAGGAGGAGAGGAGGATCTTCGCTTTGTCCAATGGGAGAATAGAGGAACTTCGGGGTGGGGGGTGGGGGGAGCGCTGGGACGGCAGGGTGAACAGTGCCTGGCTTGTGAGGGATTGGGCTGTCACATGTTGCTCCACTTACTTACAGGAGCGTAGGGGTGGGTTGGAGAGAAAATTGCTCATTGGATCATTCACAGGGGTTTGGTGGGGTGACACCAAGAGCTACCGCACTGGGTGACACCAATTGGGGGACAGTCCAGCTTCAGGAACCTAAGTTGGGTTCCCCCCTCCACCAAGGCCCCCAAACCCTGGGCTAACTGCTGGGCTGGGGGTAGGGGAATGGGCTTGAGGACTGACTGAGGCATAGCAGGGTGACTGCAGGATAGATCAATACAACATTCCCCGCCGCCGGAAACGGAAGCACACACTGGGTTCACGTCAGTCATGCCCCCTGGAACAGGGAGAAGCAGGTAGCTGCCTTCCACTCCCTCTGGCCAGTAAGGTGAGAGTGGGGTGTGGGCAGCCACGTGAGTCTTCAGCTAGAGCCCAGTCCTAAAGATGAGCAGCTGGCCAGGGAGAGGGTGGCAAGAGCAGATGCCCAGATGTATCACTTGTCATTTTCTAGCCCTGCCTGTTGCTCTGCTCTGGCCCTGGGCTGGGCCTGCCTCTGCCCCCTAGTCCACTCTGACAGTCCTGATGAGTGATAACTGACATTCCCTGAGCACCTCTTATGTAGCAGCCAGACTTCTGAATGCTCTACTCAGATTCGCTCATTAAGCCTACCCACAGTCTCAGGAGGTGGCTACTTTCATTAACCATGTGTAAGTTGAAGAGCCGAAAGGTAAAGTGACTTGTCCAAGGTCCTACAGCCAGCAAGCAGCTGAGCCCGAAGTCCAACTCACAGCCTATGCTTGTGACCATTTCTTTGTTTGGTTGCCTGATCAGGGAAGGACCTGTGGTCCACTGCACCTCCCAGACTTGTCAGGGGCAAAGAGCTTGTCATTAGGCTGTTGGGTCCTGCACCCAAGCTGCCTCCACACTACCAAGCAGTCCCGTTTGTACAAAGATAATAGTCCCTACAGCTTATGGGAAGCTTTTTGCAGTCCCTGGGTGGTTGGTACCACTTGGCTAATAACTGAAAGATTGGAGGTTCTAGTCTATCCAGAGGGGCTTTGCAAGAAAGGCCTGATGATCTACTTGTAAAAAGTCAGTAAAAATCCTATAGGGCACAGTTCTACTCGGACACCCACGGGGTTGCCTGATTCATGGGTAGTTTTTGGGAGTGTGTTTAGCTATAGAAAAGAAGTCTCCAGAAAGTCAGGACTTGTGTCTGCCAGCCCAAGGAAAAACTCCCCACTGGTGGAGAATTTCATAAGGATGATGGTCTTAAATTGGTCTAGTCTGTCCAGTACCAATTGCTGACAGGACATTGTCTTTGGATGGCAGGACCACTGGGAAGGAGTGAGGTATACTGGGGATGGCAAACTGAAAATGACAAAAATCATTTAAGGAAAAACGTACAAGGGATTGTCATGGCCTCTTGAACCTGGCTCATTGTCTTCACCTGATCAACTTTCCCTCTTTCCATGATTAATTCAAGTGCAAGTCTCATCTCATCTACCACCGTCCCAAGTATGCTGTGTCTAAATGAAGCAGGTCGTTTCTCCCTCTGGGGACGACAGTGTTTGTCGGGGTTCACTTTTCTTCCTGCTCTGAAACCACATTCTCTATGCTTTTCAGATCTTCTAAATTCCTTGAGCCTGGATTGCATGTCAGTTTTGAGCCATTTAATTCTCCTCTGGGTCTGGTGTCATTTCAATTTTGATTTGGATGATCCCTGTGACAGAGTAGAACAGCCCTGGAGGGTCTTCTTGGCTGTAATCTTTATGAAAGTAATTTGCCAGGCCTTTCTCCTGCATATCAAGCATATATGAGGTTTTTAAGAAGTACCTGGTGCTGGTGAGAAGGAACGGTGGACACGGTTCATCTGACCCTGTCACAACAAGAGTCATAAGAAGACAGTGCTGTTTCCCACTATTGTTGTTGTTGTTGTTAGGTGCCATTGAGTTGGTACCGACCCATAGCAACCGTATGCATAGCAGAACGAAACACTGCCCAATCCTGGACCAACCTCACTACTGTTGCCACGCTTGAGCCCATTGATGCTGCCACTTGGCCAATCCATCTCGCTGGGAGTCTTCCTCTTTCTCTCTGACCCTCCACCTTTCCAAACATGATATCCTTCCCCAGCGACTTGTCCCTCCTGACATCATGTCCGAAGTATGAGAGACAAAGTTTGGCCATCTTGGCCTCCAAGGAGGCACTCTGGCTGCACTTCTTCCAACACTGGCACCCCATAAACCATGGAGTGGGGCAGGTGCTCCAGAGCAGTGGAACTGATGCTGACGGACAAATTGCTCATCCCTCCCAACCTCCTGGGGTCTCAGTGGAGGCTCAAGCTCCCTTCTGCTGCCAAGGCCCTAAGGCTTCTCACCTTTGAACATGACAGCCTCTCCATGGCCCTCCTTCTGTTTCTCTCGGAAGAGCTTGTAGCAGGCCGAGGTGCTGGCCATGAGCATCCGGAACTTCTGCAAGGGAGTCCAGGGGAATAGTGTCAGCGGACAAAGCCCCTGACCTGAGGAGCCCAGCCCCATCTGCACATGATCTCCAGCCAACCCACATCAAGTGGCAAAGGCAACCCGGGAGGATGTCGTTACCCTCTTTGCTAAAGAAATCCACCCACTTCAGCAGAATACCATTGAGTTAAAGCTCAGATTGGCAGGAAATGAAGGTATCTTTTTCCAGAACCCCAGGTTTATGCCCTATTCCTCTCTAAAGAATATTGGCCACTAGCCTTGGCTATCAAGTTCTTGAACTTGTTAGTCTGAATGTTGTTGTTGTTAAGTGCCATCGAGTCGATCCTGACCCACGGTGACCCTGTATAGGGTTTCCAAGAAGCAGCTGGTGAGCTTGAACTGCTGACCTTGCAGTTCAAACAACTTTGCAGTCTGACGCATTAGCCCACAGCGCCACACCAGGACTCCTGAATAGACATGTGAAAACCCCATGGAGTACATTTCTACTCTGGTCACCATGAGTTGGAACCTACTTGACATTATCTGGTTTTTGGTTTACGAGACTAAAATACACATTAGATTTTGAAGACTTAGTATGAAAATAAGAGTATAAAATTCCTCAGTAATTTTATATCCATTAGATGTTAAAATGCTAGTTTGGGGATTTATCAGATTAAATTGTGGGAGCAAGATGAGGCTTTCTGCTCCTACAAAGATTTAAAGCTTCAGAAACATGATAAAGCATTGCTATGAGTTGGAACCGACTCCATGGCACTAAACAACAACAACATAATCAGGTTAATATTAATATCACTGGTTTCTTATTTTTTAAACTGTGACTTCTAGAAAATGTGTAGTTGCATATCTGGCTTGCATTAGAGATTGCATTCTATTTATGTTGGTCTGTACTGTTCAGTATATTGACAAAGGCTTTCAACTGTGTGAATCATGAGAAGCTCTGCATAATATTGCCAAGAATGTGTATTCCAGAACACTTAATTGTGCTCATGAGGAACCTGTACATAGACTAAGAGGCAATCATTTGAACAGAACAAGGGAATACTGAGTGGTTTAGAATCAGGAAAGGTATGTGCTAGAGCTGTATTCTTTCACCATAATTAACCAACCTGTATGCTGGACTATCTGAAGAAGAACATGGCATCAGGACTGGAAGAAGACTCATTAATAACATTTGATATGTAGATGATGCAACCTTGCTTGCTGGAAGTGAAGAGGACTTGAAATACTGACGAAGAGCCAAGATTAAGCATTCTATATGGATTGCACCTCAATGTAAAGAAAACAAAAGTCCTCACAAGTGGACCAATAAATAATATCATGATAAATGGAGAAAAACCTATTGTTAAAGACTATTTTGCTTTGATCTACAATCAACACTCATAGAATCAGCAGTCAAGAAATCAAATGACATACTGGTACTAGGCAAATCTGCTGCACAAGGCCTCTTTAAAGTGTTGATGAGCAAAGATGTCAGCTTGAGGACTAAGGTGTGCCTGAAAGAAATCTGTATTTGTGCCCATTCCAAAGAGAGGTGACCCAACGGAATGCGGAAATCGTCGGACAAATTCATTGATATCCCATGTGAGTAAAGTTTTATTAAAGGTAATCCGAAAATGGCTGTAACCATACATTGACAGAGAACTTCCAGTGGTTCAAGCCAGATTCAGAAGAGGATGTGGAATGAGCGATATCATTGCTGATGTCACATGGATCTGGACTGAAAGCAGAGAATACTAGAAAGATGTTTACCTGTGCTTTACTGACTATGTAAAGGCATTCGATTGTGTGGATCATGACAAGTTATGGACAATGCTGCGAAGTATGAGTATTCCAGAACACTTAATTGTGCTTTTGAGGAACCTGTACATAGACCAAGATGCAGCTGTTCAAACAAAACAAGGGAACACTGAATGGTTTAAAATTAGTAAAGGTGTGCACCAGGGTTGTATTCTTTTACTATACTTATTCAATCTATATGCTGAACAAATAATCTGAGAAGCTGGATTGTATGAAGGAAAACATGGCATCAGGATAGGAAGAAGACTTATTAACCACCTGTGATATGCAGATGATACAACCTTGCTTGCTGAAAGTCAAGAGGACTTAAAATACTGATGAAGATCAAAGACCACAGCCTTTGGTATGGGTTGCATCTCAATGTAAAGAAAACAAAAATCCTCATTACTGGACCAATAAACAACATCCATGTCAATGGAGAAAAGATTGAAGTTGTCAATGACTTCATTTTGCTCGGCTCAACCAACAACACTCATGGAAGCAGCAGTCAAGAAATCAAACAACCTATTACACTGGGCAAATCTGCACATGACCTCTTTAAAGTGTTGAAGAGCAAAGATGTCAGTTTGAGGACTAAGGTGCGCCTGACTCAAGCTATGGTATTTTCAATAACCTCAGATGCTCTGAAAGTTGGACAGTGAATAAGGGAGATCATAGAAGAATTGATGCATTTGAACTATGATGTTGGAGGTGAATATTAAAAGTACCATGAACTGCCAAAAGAACAAATAGATCTGTGTTGGACGAAGTACAGCCAGAGTGCTCCTTGGAAAACAGGCTGGCCAAACTTCATATCTCATACTTTGACATGTTGTCAGGAGGAACTAGTCACTGGGGAAGCATATCATGTTTGGTAAAGTAGAAGTATGCAGAAAAAAGAGGAAGGCCCCCAGTGAGATGGATTGGCACAGTGGCAGCAGCGATGGACTAAGGTGTAATGATTGTGAGGTTGGCACAGGATCAGGCAGTGTTTCTGTTGTGCACAGGGTCACTATGAGGCAGTACTGACTCAATGGCACCTAACAACAACAACTCCAATGACAACATACAAGTCAATTTCAGCCTTCTTCCTCTAGGCACCTCCCATAGACTCTGCCATCTGCTGGCAAGAGCTGGTTGACTATCACCCAATTGAATCCAAGCTTGGGGGCTAGCTCACCTTTGTGCCTGGGATAGGGACAAAGGTCATGAACTCGTCCACATGGCCCACAGTCAGCCAGTCTGAGTAGAGCTCCACAGGTGCCTGGACCTGCTGGGCCTGCAGGAAGTCCCGTACCACCTTGGTCATCCTTCGACCACCAGACCTGAACAAAGAAGAACCTGCTTTTTCATTGGCTGGTGGGTCACCTGGGCAGGGAGTGTGGGTATTGTGGAAATGCCAGCGAGCCAGGGATTCATGCTTTGGGGGCGGGCCATGTTTGGTCATGCCTCTTCTGTTTATGGGAACCCCATCTCATTACAGTATTCCTTCTCTGAGCTCCTCATCTCTCCCCCACCTGCTTTATCATCTTGTTATAAACGCACTACTGTCAAGTTGATTCCGATTCATAACCACCTTATAAGACAGAGCAGTTTCTAAGCTCAAGTCTGTAGCAGCAGACAGACACATCTTTCTCCTGTGGAGCAGCTCGTGGGTTCAAACTGCCGATTTTTTGGTTAGCAGCCGAGTATTTAACCACCGTGCCACCAAGTCTCCTTAATTTCATTATATACCCTCTTATTCTGGGAAGTTACTTAGTAAATTTTATCTTGAATCCAAATTCACACTAAGATGTAAAGGCTAACTTGGTTTTCTTTTCAAGAGTGTTTGCATCTGATAAGGGGATTATTTTTCCAGCCACTCATTTCATGTTTAAGCAACCCAGGTTACCCTTTAATGAAAAACAACCCCGTTCTCCCATGGCCCCGCCTGGCTTCTCTTACAGAGGAAAGCTGCTCCCGATGAGGATCCGGCCCAGTAGATATTCCTTGCCGTTCACGGTCACTGGGGGACTGACCTCCAGATTCCCAAAGGAATCAAGGCTGGTGATGGGTTCAAAGAGGGGCTCCCGGGTCACATAGCCAAAGTCCGGGCCCTGGACAGAGAGCATACAGCTGTTATTAATCCCTAGTCCCAGATCCAGCCACCCTTGGACAAACATTTGTTCACCATCTTTGGCATGGCACTGTGGCCTGTAACTCCTAGGGGGCGTTGCTCATGGTCTCCTTTATTTCTACCAAAGGGCAGGAGCCTGGGCACAGAGGCTAAACTTGTGAACAGCTCAGTGTGAGTGTGTGTGTGTGTGCATATATGTCTTTAACTCCACTCCAAATATCACATGATAATTTCAGGATTTGTGCTCTTGATATTCCTGCTTATCTCAGTTTCTCTGGCCCTCAATTTCCCTATCTCTAAAAGTGCCATGGGCTGCCAAAAGAACAAATAGTTCTGTGTTGGAAGAAGTACAGCCAGAGTGCTCCTTGGAGGCCAGGATGGCCAAACTTCATCTCTCATACTTTGGACATATTGTCAGGAGGGATCAGTTGCTGGAGAAGTACATCATGTTTGGTAAGGTGGAGGGAGGGTCAGAGAAAAAGAGGAAGACCCCCAGCAAGATGGATTGGCAAAGTGGCTCAAGTATGGCAACAATTGTGAGGTTGGCCCAGGACCAGGCAGTGTTTGTTCTGTCGTGTATAGGGTCACTATGAGTTGGTACTGACTCGATGGTACCTAACAACAACAACAAAAAGAGATGTTGGAGTCTAGGTATGGTGCCGTAAGACAAAGCACTGGGCCATAAGGTTGGTTTGAACTGCAAGGTTGGTGGTTCAAACTCACCAGCTGCTCCTTGGAAACCCGATACCGGGTTGCTATGAGTGGGAACTGACTCAATAGCACTTAACAACAACAACAAAAAGAGGTGTTGGTCTCTAGTCAGGGTAGATTATATGATTGACCCTGTATAGGGTTTCCAAGGAGCAGCTGGTGGGTTTGTATGGCCAATCTTGCAGTTAGCAATTCACCGCTTATCCTATAGTGCCACACCAGGTGATGGTGTGCTGTGAAGTCAGTTCGGACTCATAGCGACCCTGCATAGAGTTTCTGAGGCTGTAAATCTTAATGAGAGCCGAAAGCCTCATGTTTTCCCTGCAGAACTGCTGGTAGCTTCGAACTTCTGACCATGAGGTTAGCAGCCCAATTCATAAGCTACTAGAGCTCCTTAGTGCCACACCAGGACTCAGCCTAAGAGAGGTATTGGTGTAGGGGTTCCTGAGGCAGTGTAGAAGATGATACAGTGTCCTCAGAGGCTTGCTGCCACTTTCCAGTAAGGATTTTGCATTGCTTTGTGACTTGAGAAAGAACATACTTCCTCACCTGAGGGCAGACCAGGCCATGTGACTTGCTTCAGCCAATGAAATGTAAGCAAAAGTGATACAAGCCAGTTAAGTGCAGATGTTATAAGAAGCTCTGTGTGAGTCTGCCATTTCCCTTTCTCTTCTCCCAGTCCAGGGAGAAGAGAATGGCATTTCCCTGGACTCTAGAATGAGGAAAACTCAAGGAAGTAGAGCCACATGCCACCAACCAGTAGTCAATAGGGAATGCAGGCAAGGAATAAGCCTTTATTGTCATTCGCTGAAGTTTAGGGGTTGTTTGTGAAGCTGGCCTTGCTACATGAAAGCTGATCACTACATGTGGGATAAATACAGACATTTCACACGGGAGTGTGACCCATTCTCAATTAAACATCCTTTCCCACTGAACTCGGATGCAGCCTTCTTAGCACAGAGCTCCAACAGACTGCAGTTGTCACACATGAGATGTAGCCCTACGGATCCCTTGAATATTAAGGTTCTTTTCATGATTTTTGGACAAAAAAGTAGGGACTTGTTCAATTTGCTGGGTCTAAAGTTTGCCTGACAAAATCCCTGTTGAGCAAAAGCAGTGGAATGGGAGAATGCTGCTTATCCTGGCCCCCGCTGGGAGCCCCAAGGGACAGCTGCATCCAGTGGGGTGAGTTGCTGCAGCTTAGCGCTTTCTCATCTAGGAGCCCCAGCTGGCAGGTGCGAGCTCCCTGGAGCCAGAGCAGCTGGGGTTTTACAGCATTACACTGACGAGAAGGCAGGAACAAAGCCGCCTGGGACCCTGGAACCAGGCCAGCTGGGACATTGAATTCAGGTATCAGTCCAAGGAAGAGAGAGAAGGCAGAATCTGGGAGACCTCCGTTCTCATGCCTGCAGTGACCGGCTGCTTGTGGCTGGTTTGACTCAACCTTTCATTGTATGTGGGGGATGAGGATGGGGACTATAAGCTTACCAAGGACAGCATCTAAGCCTGTGGAATGATAATCCTAATGACAGTTAACATGGTCATTACATCAGGCACAGCATGATGCCTTAGCACCATAATCCTATGAGACCGATATGGTTTTAACCCCATTTTACAGATGAGCAAAGCTATGCTTATAGAGCTTAAGTTGTTGCTCATGGTCACGTTACTGCTAAGGGGTTGGACTAGGACTCAAGGTCAGGTCCACATGACACTCCAGAGCTTTGTGCTCACACTATCTGCTCTACTTTCTCCCCAGGGTGAGGGGACTAAGTTAATGAATGTTCTCAGGAAGAAAAAGTCATCTTTGAGCAGCCAATGGGGAGGCTGCTCTGTGTGGGCAAGTCACCTGATCTACCCGGGCCTCATGTTATCCAAGCTTCCCTCTGTCTATTCAGGGCAGAAGGGTGATGATAAAAGGGAGACTGATTTCAGTTCTGCCTCTACACAACAGGTCATGGAGGGCATAAAGAGGAGCAATAATGGCCTCAAGAATTGGGGGAGTCAGACTGCCTTAAAAAAAAAAAAAAAGGCTGAAAATCAGGGCTTTAAAGGTCCTCACAAGCTTTGAATTAGGAAATGTGATTTCCAACAATTGTGTAACTTCCTTTGTACCCTTTGAAAGCGAATTTTGCTGCAAGCTGGAAATGGGGCAGTGGCAGGGAACAGGGTCTTGGAGTCGGTCCTGCCAAGCCTCTGTCTCCTGCAGTTCCTGTGTCTTGGAACAACATCGGTTATCAGAGCAGGAGAGGACTTTTCAGGGCACTGTCCCAAGTGACCCATTCTGCAGATGAGAACATGGGGGCTTTAGGCAGTAGACTAATTTGCCTAAGGGCACCACTCACTGTCTCCTGACTGTAGGAGCCCATAGGGTGGTCCCCACCAGGTGACCCTTAGCCTCTCACCAGGAGCTGCTTCACTGGGAAGTCCTTTAGGTTTCCATCTCGGGGGGAGTCCAACACCACAGGGAAACCCTTATGGGGGGCCTCAATGTAGCCAAATTCGACTTCATCCTATGGGGACACCAAGAAGAACCGTTAGATTATTCTGGAGGGTACAGTGCTGTAGGATAAACACTGGTCTACTGACACTGTGGTAGGGCAGGAAAGCGCCTTCCCAGGTGGAGTCCTCGCCTAAGGGCACCAGGGAATACCAGCTCGCCAGAGTGGGGCTAGGGAGGTCCTTGTGAAAACAAAAGGAACTTGTGCAATGGGCAAAAAAACAAACAAACAAACAAAAACAACACAGGGTGAAAAGTTAATTCCTCTGTACTCTATCTCCTGGTCCCCAGTTCTCTTCCCTTTAAGCAAACGATGGCAGCAGTTTCTTATAAATCCTAGAAATAATCTTGGCATGCCACAGAGTTGTAGGCATGTCCATGGCTTTTTCACATTGATTACATAGTTCATGTTGTACCACTATCAGCATTATTCTTTTCCAAAATAGCCTACCACCACTAACATAAATGCAGCGCTTCCAAACAAAATCTCCTCTCTCCTCCCTCCCTCTCATCCTGTAACCATAAATCATCTTTTTTGATTTTTTTTGTTTGTTAACTGTCGTCGTGTCAGTTCCGACTCATAGCGACCTTATATAGGGTTTCTGAGGAGTGCTGGTGGGCTTGAACCGCTGACCTCGCAACTAGAAGTCCTGTATTTATCCTACAATGCCACACCAGGATCTCTAAATAGTCTTTATTATTGTTGTTGTTAGGTGCTGAGTCAGTTCTGACTCATAGTGACCCTAAATAGGGTTTCTGAGGAGCGGCTGGTGGGTTTGAACTACCAACCTTGTGGTTAATGTTGTTGCTGTTGTAAAGTGCCTTTGGGTCAGTTCTCACTTATAGAGACCCTGTATAGGGTTTCCAAGGAATGGCTTGTGAATTTGAACCACCAACCTTGCGGTTCAAACCGACCTTGTGGTCCAGTGTATTATTCCATAGTGCAAATAGACCAGTGTTTATCCTACAGTGCTATACTAGGACTCCAAATAATCTTTGGTTTCCATATATTTATTTCATATAAGTGAGATCCTACAGTATTTGTTCCTGTGTCCTATGTCATCCAGCATAATGCTTTCCAAGGTTCATCATTGGAAATGTGGCATGCATCAGGCCTTTATTTTGGCCAACCTCCCACTTCCTTTTTTTTTTTTTTTTTAACACATATGGTGGTATTGTATACTGTATGCATCTTCCTTCAAGTAACAACCTAACTTGGGGATCATTCTGACTCTTTACTAATGGACTGGCCTCATTCCCTCTAGCTGTGTGTGGCACGGCACTCTATATGGTAAGGTTCTACCAGATTATGTGTGGGGCTTCAAAAAGCGTGTGGAGAAATTCCATTTTCCCATGATCTTTTTGAAGTCCCCTCATCGTTATGAGTTGGAACCGACTCCACGGCACTTAACAACAACATATTTGATCAGTCCCCTATGGATGGCCACTTAGGTTGTTTTTTGGTCTTTTACTACAAGAAGCAACATAGCAGTGACTTGCCTTATCCATTCTCGTAGTGTGCACACAAGCATGTGTTATTTGACAGAAGATTCCTATGTCTGTGTGGAGTGCTATGTCTGTATGCGTTAAGCCCATTTTCCTGGCCTGGACCCGGGGCCCTACCCTCCCTGCCTGGCCCCTCACCTGGATCCAACGATCACCCCGGTTCACATACTGAAAACAGACTTTCAGTTCGCAGTTGGTTTTCTCCACCAGATTCTTCACCTCTTTCAGGAACAGGTAATTGTCCTTCATGCTGAGAAGTTTGGGGGAGGTGAGACAGAAGGGGAAGGAGAGACAAAGGCCTGTCCTATAGAGGCTACACCAGACTGGGCAGATGGGACCCACTCTGTCTGTGCCCTTGAGAAAGGCTGCCGGAATCCAAGGCCAAGTTCCCTGTAAACCCACAGCTCATGTGGCATTTTCTCAAGGTTTTGAGCAAATCAGATGGGAAAGGGACTCTCACCTCACCTGTCACAAAGCCCCTCATTTTAACGTGCCCCCAGAGTTTTGAAACGTTAAGGAGGAGCACAATTCTGCGTAGCATGGGGGCAGGCCTAGGATCTAGGGGTTCCCTTTGGCGCTGCAAGCAATCCACCTGGGGGTACTTCTTTTCCTTGCTTCTCAACTCGCCTCTCAGCTTTCAGTCATGCGTCTGCCTAGCACAAAGTGATTTCCCATTCATGGTGACCATCCAGGATGGAGTAGAACTGGCCCATAGGGCTTCCAAGGCTGTGAATCTTTATTGGAGCGGACTGCCTCATCTTTCTCCCATGGAGCAATTGGTGGCTTAGCAGCTGACCACCTAACCACAGCACCACCAGGGTCCCGTAAACACAAAATAGGTGCTTGGTAAAATTCTGCTTAATGAACGAGTAAAATGAGCTGTGTATCTATTCCACACGAGGCTCTCAACTGCATTGTGTGGGCCGATACCAGGACCAGGCATAAATGCTTTGCCCGCTTCATCTCACTTAATCCTCATAGTGACTCTGTGATGTGGGCATTTCAGAGAAGCCGAGGCATAGAGAGGCCAAGGGAATTGCTCAAGGTCACCCAGAGGTTAAGTGACAAATCCAGAATTCAAACTCAGGTCTGTCTGACCCTGAAGCCTTAGCTCTTGGCCACCCCTTACCTGCACACAAACACCGACACTGGAGGCAGGATATTGGGCGTCATGATCCATGGAGCAATGCGGAATATCACGCTGTCAGTGAAGATGGGTGTCAGGGGAATGCCCTGGGTGTGAGAGAGAGGAGATCCCAAAGTTTCATCATAGTGCTTTTCATTGTTGCCTTTAATCACTTTCTGTATGTTAGGCCCTGTACTAAGTATTTGTACATGCATCAATTAATTTCTGACTTACAACAGTCCTGGGGCAGAAACTACTGTAATCCTAATTATGTTGTTGTTGTTAAGTGCTGTCGAGTCGGTTCCGACTCATAGCGACCTGTATAGGGTTTCTGAAGAGTGGTTGGTGAGCTTGAACTACTGACCTTGTGGTTCACACCAACCTTGCAGTCCAGCATATTAACTCGCTGTGCCACACCAGGATTCCATTATACCGATGGGATAACTACTAAGTAACTGTCCAAGGTCACATGATAGATCCAAGCTGTAAATAAACCCAGGTGGTCACTTTCTCTACCATTCTGTCTTGCCCTGATCTCGATGATCAAAATTCTCTTCCAGAAACTGACCACATGAAGGCTGTTCTTTGTTTTAAGGAAAGACTTAGGCAGTTTGACTGGAACCTGAGGGGAAAATGTGGTAAGATTCCAGGGTTCATTTGAGAGGCTGCTTTGAAAAGCTACATGAAATCCGTCCTGCTCTTGGCAGAGAGGATGAGATGAGGTGAGGTCTGGCATGGAGGGGTAGGGGAGTGAGACTGAGGGTGGGGCTTCTACAAGGTGCCAGACTGCTTTCCTATCCTCCCCAGATCTGCCTTTGGAGTCTTTGTTGGTGCTTGCCAGGGCTGAGAGTCTGGGCCTGAGGCTGCTCTGGGCACGGGTGGGAGCACGAGCCCCTCCTTTATGTCTGGTCCTGTTAGTTTTGTCTTCTCTGCCCTCACTGCTCCCCAGGAGTATGAGAGAGATTCTTTTTTAAAATTAAATAACATTTTATTGTGTTTTTGGTGAAAGTTTACACAGCAGGTTAGGTTCCCCTTTGAGAATTTTCACACTTTTATCAATGACGTTGGTTAAATTTTTTTCACATTGTGTCATTATTTTCATTAAAGTATTCTGGTTGTTCCATTTCCAGTATTCTAGATTCCCCACACCCTTATCTTTTCATCTTTGTTTTGGAATAAATGTTGATTTTTTTGGGCTCATACAAATTTGTTTTTTATAAAGCACTGATCTAATAGGTGGTGGTGATGTGCCGTGCAGTCGGTTTTGACTCATAGCGACCCTGTATAGGATTTCCGAGGCTGTAACTCTTTATGGGCGCAGAAAGTCTCATCTTTCTCCCATGAAGTGGTTGGTAGATTTGAACTGCTGGCTTTGTGGTTAGCAGCTCAACTTGTAACCCACTACGCTACCATGGCTCCTTGATTTAATGGGTAATATCTTCTATTTTAGAGTCCAGTGCTGGACTGCAAAGTCGGTTTAAACAGCAAGTTTGGCGGCTCAAACCCACCAGCTACTCCTTGGAAACACTATGTTGTTGTTAGGTGCCATTGAATTGGTACTGACTCATAGCAACCCTATGTATAATAGAATGAAACACTGCCTGATCTTGGACAAACCTCACAATCGTTGCTATACTTGAGCCCATTGATGCTGTCACTTTGCCAATACATCTCATTGGGGGTCTTCTCTTCTTCTCCAACTATCCATTTTACCAAACATGATATCCTTTTCCAGTGACTGGTCCCTCCTGACAATATGTCCGAAGTACGAGAGGAAAAAAAGTCTGGCCATTCTGGCCCCCAAGGAGCACTTCTTCCAACATGGATCTATATGTTCTTTTGGCAGTCCATGGTACTTTCAATATTCTCCTCCAACACCATAACTCAAAAGCATCAATTCTTCTACAGTCTTCCTTATTCACTGTCCAGCTTTCGCATGCCTATGAGGTTATTGAAAATACCATGGTTTGGGTTAGGTGCACCTTACATCTTTGCTCTTCAATACTTTAAAGAGGTCTTATACAGCAGATTTGTCCAATGCAATATGTAATTTGATTTCTTGATTGCTGCTTCCATGAGTGTTGATGGTTGAGGTGAGCAAAATGAAGTCATTGACAACTTCAATCTTTTCTCCATTTATATGCATATTGTTTATTGGTCTAATGGTGAGGATTTTGTTTTCTTTACATTGAGGTGCAACCCATACTGAAGGCTGTGGTCTTTGATGTTCATCAGTAAATATTTTAAGTCCTCTTCACTTTCAGCAAGCAAGGCTGTATCATCTGCATATCACAGATTGTTAATGATCCTTCCTCCAATCCTGATGCCATATTTTCCTTCATATATTCAGCTTCTCAGCTTATTTGTTCAGCATACACATTAAATAAGTAAGGTGAAAGAAAACAACCCTGGTGCACACCTTTCCTAATTTTAAACCATTTAGTTCGAACAACTGCCTCTTGGTCTATGTACAGGTTCCTCATGTGTACAGTTAAGTGTTTTGGAATACTCACTCTTCTCAGTGTTGTCCATAGCTTGGCATGATCCAAGCAATCAAAAGTCTTTGTGTAGTCAATAAAGCACAAGTATACATCTTTCTGGTATTCTCCAAGATCCATTTGACGCCAGATATCTGTATGATATCTCTCATTCTTTGTCCTTTTCTGAATCCAGCTTGAACCTCTGGAAGTTCTCTGTCAATATATGGTTGCAGACATTTTTGGATTACATTTAGTATAACTTTACTCACATGGGATATCAATGATATTGTCCGATGATTTCTGCATTCCGTTGGGTCACCTCTCTTTGAAATTGGGCACAAATACAGATCTCTTCCAGTCAGTTGTTAAGTAGTCTTCCAAAGTGCCTTGAGTGTCACATCACTTTTTTGAAAAATTTCAATTTGTACTTGTATTTGAGTTGAAATTCCAGGTGCCTTTTTCTTTGCCAATGCCTTCAATGCACCTTGGACTTCTTCCTTCAGGATCATTGGCTCTTGATCATATGCTACCTCTTGAAATAGTTGAATATTGACCAATTCTGTTTGGTACAGTGACTCTGTATTCCTTCCATCTTCTTCTGATGCTTTCTTCATCGTTCAATATTTTGCCCATAGAATCTTTCAATATTGCAAGTCAAGGTTTGATTTTTTTCTCCCTTCAGTTCCCTCAGCTTGAGAAATGCTCAGTGTGTTCTTCCCTTCCAGTTTTCTAACTCTAGTTCTTTGCACAATTTGTTATAATATTTGACTTTGTCTTTTCTAGCTGACCTTTGGAATTTTCTGTTCAGCTCTGTACCTCCTCATTTCTTCCATTTGCTTTAACATCTCTATGCTGCAGAGCAAGTTTCAGAGTCTCTTCTGATATCATTTTGGTCTTTTCCTTCTCTCTTGTCTTCTCAATGACCTTTTGCTTTCTTCCTGTATGATGTTCTTGATGTCATACCACAACTCTTCTTTGGTCTTTAGTGTTTAATGCATGAAATCTGTTCTTTAGATGATCTCTAAATTCAGGTGGGATACATTCAAGGTCATATTTTGGTTCTCATGGACTTATTTTTATTTTCTTCAGCTTCAGCCTAAATTTTCATAAGAGCAATTGATGCTCTGTTCCACAGACTGCCCCTGGCTTTGTTTTGGCTGATGATATGGAGCTTTTCCACCGTCTCTTTCCACTAATGTAGTCAGTTTGATTTCTGTGTATTCCATCTGGTGAGATCTATGTGTATAATCGTCTTTTATACTGTTTAAAAAAGTTATTTGCAAGGAAGAATTCATTGGTCTTGCAAAATTCTATCATGTGATTTCAGCATTGTTTCTATCACCAAAGCCATATTTTCCAACCACTGATTCTTCCTTTTTGTTCCCAACCTTTGCATTCCAATTGCCAGTAATTATCAGTACATTTTGATTGCATGTTTGATCAATATCAGACTGAAGAAGTTGGTAGAATTCTTTAATTTCATCATCACTGGCTTTAGTAGTTGGTGCATAAATTTGAATAATAGTGGTATTAACTGGGCTTCCTTGTAGGCAGATGGATATTATCTTATCACAGACAGTGTTATTCTGCATGACTGATCTTAATCTTGCTATATGTTCTTTTGATGATGAATGCGATGCCACTCCTCTTCAATTTGTCATCTCGGGCATAGTGAACCATGTGATTGTCAGATTAAATATGGTCAATACCAGTCCATTTCAGCTCACTAATGCCTACGATATTGATGTTTATATGTTCCATTTCATTTTTGAAATTTCCAGTTTTCTTAGATTCATACGTACTTGGTATTTTCCATGTTCTGATTATTAATGGATTTTTACAGCTGCTGCTTTTCATTTTGAGTTGTGCCCCATCAGCAAATGAAGGTCCTGAGGGCTTTACTCCATCCCTGCCATCATGGTGAACTCTATTCTAAGGAGGCAGCTCTTCCCCAGTCGCATCTTTGGAAAGAGATGCCTTCCAACCTGAGGGGGTCATCTTCCAGCACTGTATCCTACAATATTCTAATGCGCTTTATTATGTTTCAATAATCTGCTGCTGACAGTGTTCCATTGCTATCCATAAGGTTTTCAGTGACTAAATATTTGGAAGTAGTTCATCTCTCCTTCTTCCTTTGTCTGGAAGCTCATCTGAAACCTGTTCACTGTGGTTGACCCCGCTGGTTTTTAAAATATCAGTGGCATAGTTTCTAGGATCACAGCAACACACAAGCCACCACAGTATGACAAACTGACAGACGAGTGGTGGTGGAAACCCTATACTGAGTCACTATGAGATGGAACGACTTGACGGCACTTAACAACAATAATATTCTCTATTTTGTGTGTCATTCTGTTTTTCTGTTAAAAGGTGGTCTCAAGGTTTCAAGAGCATCTCAGGGCAAAAGTCCTTTGGTGTCAGTGTTATAGTTAATCTGACCATTTTTAGGAATCTGAGTTTTGTTCTGTATTTGTCTCCCATTCTAATGAAGATCATATCTGTTGTGGTTCCGGTCAGACTGGTCAGTGATAGTTGGGCACCATCTAGTTCTTCTGGTCTCAGTGTAGATAAGGTTGTGGCTTGTGTGGGCTATCAGCCTTGCAGATTCGTTTTTAGGTACCTTCTTACTCATTTGCTCCTGACAAATAGAAACCAATAGTTGGACAATAGATTATCACTCGGGAGGATTTAAGACTCCAGATGCTGCTCACTTCACGAGGATGTGGAGCATGAGCTTTATGAACTTTATTATGCTGATTTATAGTGTCATGAAACTAGGGTTCTAAGACTTCAACCTAGACAACCAATTTTGTGAGCTGTTTGGTTATGTCTGAGAAGACTCTGTAATTGTATCATCTGTGATTATATGATGCATTGATAATTACTGGTGACTTTGAAAGTTAGCAATACAAAATTTGGAAACAAGATAGGTAGTTGGAAAATATGGTCTTTGAGATAGAAATGACATGCAAGGTTTGCGCTACAATTTTGCAAAACCAGTGACTTATTCATTACAAATACCCTTTTCAACAACATAAACACTGACTATACACATGTACCTCACTGAAAATAATACACAGGAACCAAAAAAATTACATCTTTGCAAAGAGATGATGGAGAGGCTCAATACAGTCAGAACAAGGCCATGGACCGACTATGGGAAAGACCACCAATTACTCATATTGATGTTCAAGTTGAAGCTAAAGATACTTGAAATAAGTCTATGAGCGCCAATGTATGGCCTTGAGTATATCCTACCTGAAATTAGAGACCATCTTAAGAACAGATTTGATGTCCTGCAACAACATGCAAGCTGCACCAGTGTGGGACTATACCCATGAATGTTAGATTGACAGATGCTATCTGTACATGTGTATTTACCTCTGTTGCAAATATATCCAGGAATATGGCAAAGCATACAAGGGGAAAAGTTATGAAACTTCTTAGACATAACTAAACCCTTTGAGGGAATGAGTTGTTGTGCTTGGTGGCTCAGAACCATGGTCTTGGGTGACATCTACAAAGTCTACAAATACAATATTCTACATTTTACTTTGGTGAGCAGCAACTGGAGTCTTAAAATCTCATGAGCAACCATCTAAAGTATAACTAACTATTGGTCTCTCTCTGTCCAGAGGAAAAAAGAGAGAAGAAAATTGAAGACTCATGGAAACAATGAGTCCAATGAACTAACGGACCACATGAACCTAGCTTCCATGACCCTGAGACCAGATGAACTAGATGGTGCCCAGCTATCCTACCAATCATTCTGGAAGGGATCCCCTTAGAAGGTCCTGGATAGAGTGGGAGAAAAATGTGGAACAAAATTAAAAATCATTAAAAATAACAGGTTTACTAGACAGAGACTGGTAGAATCCCTGAGACTAAGGCCTTGAATTAGTCACCCTTCAGGTCTGGGAATGAAATTCACCTCTAGGGCTCCATTTTTAGCCAAGCAATAGACAGGTCTATAAGGTGAACAATTACACTGGAATAGATTTGATGGCAGTGGATTTTTCATTTTGAGGCTATATGGGCAAATGAATAAGGAAGACTGTAGAAGAACTGATGCATTTGAGTTATGGTGGTGAAGGAGAAAGTGCCATGGGCTGCCCATAGAACCAACAGATCTGTGTTGGAAGAAGTGCAGCTAGAGTGATCCTTGGAGGCCAAGAAGGCCAAACTTCATCTCATACTTCGAGTATATTGTCAGGAGGGACCAGTTGCTCGAGAAGGATATTATGTTTGGTAAGGTGGAGGGTCAGAGAAGAAGAGGAAGACTCCCAGTGAGATGGATTGGCAAAGTGGCAGCATCAATGGGCTCAAGTGTGGTAACAATTGTGAGGTTGGCCCAGGACCAGGCAGTGTTTTGTTCTGTTGTGCATAGGTCGCTATGAGTCGGTACTGACTTGATGGCACCTAACAATAACAACAACAACAATATGGGCAAAATACCAAATGATGCAGGAAGTATCAAAAGATGATGGAAGGAACACAGAGTCGATGTCCAAAAATTTGGTGAATGTTCATCCATTTCAGGTATTAGCATATGATCAAGAACCCATGGTAATGAAGGAAGAAGTCCAAGCTGCACTGAAAACATAAGCAAAACCTAGGATTTAAGAATTGGCAGAATACCAACTGAAACATTTCAACAAATGGCTGAAATGCTGGAAATTCTTATTTGTTTATGCCGAGACATTTGTAAGATAGCTACTTAGTCAACCGACTGGAAGAGACCTATGTTTGTATCCATTCTAAAGAAAGGTGACTCAACAGAAGCAGGAATTATCAAATAATACAATTACTCTCTCATGTCAGAATACCTCACCTGGAGGGAATTCCTGGGGAGCGGCTGCAGCACAGGAAGGACCCTAGCTCAGAGAACCCTGGCAGACATGTGTTGGTGAGTGGGTCAGATTTCAAGACCTCTAAGTTTGAGTTGTGTTTTTTTTTTTGAGAGTGAAGGAAAGTGTGGACCCCTGGGAGTGGCCCTGGTAATTGCAGAGACCCACTCCCTATGGGAGAGACCAATAGAGAATTTTCAGGTCAATTCATAGCATATGTATTGAATTACTATTCTGTGACCAACATGGACAAGGATCTTCAATGGAGGAGATGATCAAAATGTAGTTCCTGTGGTTCTAAGACTCTGAACCCAGTCCCACATGGAGGAAGAGCTCTCACCTCAGCCATATGCTCCAACAGGCTGACGTGAATGGAGACCAGGCCTGAGAAGCTTTCATCAGGGAAACGCAGACCTTCCACAAAGAATAGCAGCTCTGCAGAGCCGCCCGTGTACTTGACCACATGGTAGAGCTTCCGCCGGCCCAGGATGTGGACATAACGCTGGCCGAAGAATGGGTCTGGAGAGAAAACAACTTTTGTTAGGTCCGCAGCATCCACTAGGAAGAGCTGTGGGATGGGATCATTGATGGGGGAAAAATGGCAGAGTAACTTGTCCTCTAGATGTAGACAGCAAAGTACAAGCAGAAAATGCCCCCAGTATGGAGGTGACCCAGCCATTGTCATTGCCTCAGGACTGCTGTGCAAGCTCTTGACATTGAACCAAACAACCTCTCTGGCTTTGGCTTCCTCATCTGTACAATGACCTAACGCTCATGAGCGGCACATATGAAAATAATGTTGTTGTTGTTAAGTGCCATGAGTTGGTTTTGATTCATAGTAACCTTGAATAGGGTTTCCAAGGAGCAGCTGGTGGGTTTGAACTGCCGACTTTGTGGATCGCTGATCCTACAGCACCACATCGGGAGTCTTGTGAAAATGACAGCATATGATCATTGACCAGCTAGTGGTTTCAAGGAAGGATATTAATATTCTTATTTTATACATGAGGAAACTAAGTCTCAAAAAGGTGAAACGGTTTGTTCAGTCATTTAGCTTGAACAGTACACTGGCCTCCTCTTTATATAAATAAAACACAATGTGCTTATTTGAATAAAAAGTTCCTCTCCATAGGGCACATAATGGAAGCCACATTGTCACAAAGACCTGTGCATGGGCCTCTGGCTGCACATGCTGTGACTATAAGCAAGGCAGGCTTTCTGCCCCACTCAACCCATCAGCTTCTCACAGTGCTGTCCCCTCTCCTTCGGACAGTCACTTCCCTCCCTCAGGTCTTGAATTGTGTCACTTCTGGGACTCCTGCCCAGATTGCCAAGCTTGGAGCTGTGGGGCTTCCACAGCCCCTTGTCCTTCCCCACCGCAGCTTTCTAACTATGTGGGATCTTGCATGTTTAATTGTCAGCCCTGAAGGACTGTCACCAGCCTGAGGGCAGGGATACCTGACAAATCCAACCAAGGCCCAGGGCCTGGTACATGGCAGTGTTTGATACATGGTTACTGAAGTATGACTCTCATACCACTCCCTGTGGGAGAGGCCAATAGAGAATTTCCAGGCCAATTCATAGTACATGCATTGAATTACTACTCTGTGACTAGTGTGGGCAAGGACCTTCAGGAGAGATGGGAGATGATCAAGATGTAGTATCTATGGTTCTAAGAGCAGTTCTCAGAAATTATAAGATAAGGGGGATGCAGGAAGTGTCATAAGGCAACTATGAGTGAGATAAAGATACTTCTTGTTACCGGCATGGGGGAAGGGACTCAAGGTGGAAGCATCTGAGCAGAGGAAGGCAGCAGCTGAGACTCCATTGCAGGTGGCAGAGACAGGGTGTGCATGGGGGGAGGAGATACTTGCAGTGGCAAAGGCATGAAGGTAGAATGCTATGCAGCTCCAGAAGGAGTCTCTTTATGCCCTGTAGAGCTGGAAGGGTAGAATCAGCTCAGTATAGTATGTTTGTCAACAACAATGGTATTGGTTAATGATCGGTCACCCAAGGGTTAGAATACATAATTAGAACTGTCCTGACACAAACAAGATGTTTGATCAATACCTGCAAAATAAATGGATGAGCTGCTGAAATGCTCAAATAAACTCTGGCCGAATAGCTCACACATGCATATCTATGGCCACCAGGCATGAGGAAAGGGTGGGTTACTTTAGAAATTATGACTTTCAGTGTCAGAAAATTGAGTTCAAACCCCACTCTGGTCTTAATCAGTTGCTGTTGAGTTGATTCCAAATTATGGTGATCCCATGTGTGTCAGAGTAGAATTATGTTCTACAGAGTTCAATGGCTGAGTCTTCCTTCTGAGGCGCCTCAGGGTGAAGGACTTGAACCCCCAACCTTTTAGTTAGCTGCTGAGCATGTTAAAATAATTTGTACTGCTCTGGCCTGGTAAATCAAGAAACCTTGGGGAATTCACTTAAATTCTCTGAGTCTCAGTTTACTCATCTGTTAAATGGGGAAGCGAATATCTACATCATAGGGTTCTTGCATGATAAGATGACATAGTGTGACTAAGATGGAAGGTTCTCTGTTGGTATTAGCAGTCTGAGAGCCGGTGACCGCGTCAGTGCACCCCAAATGTAAACCTCCCCACCTTCTCATGAATGTCTTGGGGACGGCTTCCAAATAGAAGATGAAGCAACATGTCTCACCTCACCCTCCCTTGGCCAGTTTCCAGAGCTGAGACAGATAGATTTTGATGCATGGAATGTCCCAGGAACTTGTCACCAGACAACACAGAAGGTGACAGCCTTCTCACCCAGAAATGACAATATGTGCCTTGGGGCCCAGTCACTGCGTAGAGACTGTATCTTACAAAGGTCCTTTCCCAGGCTTGCACTTAAACTGATGCTCTGGGGGAGAGATGCAGTTTTAGAAAGCCAACTTGTTTCTGCTGAAATGGCAGCTCCAAAGCTTTCCAGTGTTCGGGGCAGCTGGGGGCTCTGCCAGGCTCCAGGGTGGGAGAAGGGGTTGGGCCAGTTGGACACATTCTAGTCCATCTGTCGGCAGCTTTCTTCCTCCTGAAGTGACCCATAGCCTGTGAGTCACATGGATTTCTTTCTGGTGGCTTGGGCCACCTCCAGGCAGATGGATTCCTCAGTGGGAACAATCTGGCCATTGTCCTGAGAAACCTCTTTGCGGTACCCCCAGCTCGGTCAGACTGGCCAGCGCATGGGTGGCTCTCTTGTAGGACCCAACAATGCTTCCCTATTGAGTGGTCCACGTGTCTTGGGCTTGGTCCGCTGGCCACCCTGACCTCTCACCCTCACCCTGGCCCCATCCAGTTATGGGCTATGGCTTGTCACTTCGGAGCAATTCTACCTACTAAGTAGCTTCCTTGATAATGTGACCAACTGATTCAGTTTGTCTGCAACAAGGGATGTTCAGTGCTAAAACCAGACAAGTCTTGGGCAAAATGCAGTATTAGTCACTTTATCATTATAGAAAGGGATGAGGTCCCACCTTTGGGGGTCTTGGAGTAGAATCTGAGGCTGGAGGGCAGACACCTGGTCTTTCTCAGAACTGGAGACTTTTTCCACTCCAATGATTTCAATTAATTATCATCATCATTTCAACAAAAGTAGCACCTGTCCTTAAGAGAGCCTCTTCATGGGTCAGGGCTGAGTAGAGTACCTTCTACTTGTTCCTCATTACATTCCCATCACCATCCAAGGCAGTTGGGACTACTGTTATTCACACCCAGGGATAGGCTAGTGGGGAGATTGCCTGGATCCAGGATAGAACCTAGACTTCCCTGCTGCAGAGCAATCTCTCGGGGTCCCTAGGTCCAGTCCACCCCCATGATCCTTGGGAACAGCCGGTGAATCTCTCGCAGGACACAAGGGGTATATAACATTCACAGATACACTCAGATTTTGACAAAACCCCAAAATGTTTGCAAAGGAGCCAAGAAAGCTGTGCCCCAGTTATTTTTTCATCCTTGTTTTCTTTTGAGGGCTGGGTTGGGATCAGGAGTATTGCAGAATGTTCACCAAGAATTCTACATCTTGTGCAAAACAGAATTTCAATTCTCATGGAATCCAAACTTTCTGGAGTCACTGAGGCTGAATGAACCCTGCCCTGAGATCATCTTCAAACCTCATACTTTAGTTCCCTGAAGTTTTCTTTAAACCAAACAACAGTTTAACTTAATTCATAAAGAAGGTCTGCCTAGAGTTTTTGTGCTCTTTTAAGTAACTGACAACAGCAACTCAGAAAGACCAGATGGGAAGAAGTTTAGGGGGAAGTGAGTTTGTGTCAGGGAGGGGGAAACCAATCAGAAAGGGAGGGTGAGAATGCACCATTTGCAGAATGTAACCAACGTCACTGAATTGTACATGTAGAAATTGCTGAATGGGGGTCTGCATTGTTGTGTATGCTTTCAACAACAGTAAAAAAGACAATTTCCCACATCTTGTGAAAAACTATTGTGTGGTTGTTACTATCTCATCATCCCTCCCCACAAGATGGGCAGCTCAGATAGGACATGCCAGGGGTGGACATTCTCAAAGCACTTGCAGGACATAGTTCTTCCTTTCTCTTGCTGTCTCTTGGGTGGCATGGCAGGGAGGGATGTTATGGAACCTGACCTGAATTAACAACAAGAGAAAACCACCTGATGATGTCTCTAACTATCAGCAACAGGTTTCCGGGTCTCCCGGATGCTTGTGTCATGCCGGCACACCACGAGAACCTCTGGTCAAGGTCCTGTCTTGTACTCCACCCCACCTTGTCCCTCCTTGCTGCTGATGGCCCTGTCCCCAATGGCAACCCTGGCCAGGACAGAGTAAACATCAACATCTCCGGCCTCCAGGGGCACTGGAGCCTGTCTGACTCTGGGGACATTCCAACCTGCATGAGGTCACTGCCTGGGCCCAGGGTGGATCAGAAAGAGGCTATCATTGGGTGACAGTTGTCCACTGCTGTCTTGGCTAACTCACTTTCAGAGGTGAAGGTCTAGGACCCCCACAACTAACTACTCATGACCACTGGCCTGGCTCTAATGGCCTATCCAGAGGGGTACACCTGAGCTGGGCCAAGAATCCTAGATCCTCCAGACAGCTGAGCAGGAAGGGAGCATGGAAAATTGCAAAGTTGACTTTTCTGCTGAGAGAGCTTCTTTTTAGTACATAAATCACACCTTGGCAGTCCTGTGCTTAAAAAAGCCTTTTAATGGCTTTCCACTGCACTCAAAATACAATCCGACCATCTCTGCATGCTCTGGCCCCTGCCCAGCTCACTGACCTTGTCCCGTAACACACACACCTCCCCCCACCTCTATCTTCTTCATGCTCCTCCAAGCTGGTTCCTCCTCTGTGTTTTGCACACATTATTCCCTCCACTCAGAACACCCTTCCTTCAGTTTATGAATGGCTTCTTCCTTCTCATTATTTATCTGGGTCTCAGCTCCAATGTCACCTTCCTGACCACTCAGTTAGGGTCACCTCACCTCTGCCCATGCCACTTTCTCTTACTTGATCTATTTCACTTCCTTCAATTATGCTACTTCTCAAATGTCTTTCGCACTAAACTGTCAGCTCTTTGAGGACAGGATGCAGTAGCCTTGTTCACTGTGATAATCCTGGCACGGAGGACAATGCTCGATGAAGTCAGTGGTGCATCAGTGCTCGAGTCTCTACCTTCTGTGCTGGAGACCTGGGTTTGATGCCTGGTCAAAGTACTTCAAACGCAGCTACCACCTCAGTGGACATGAAGATGCTGAACAGCTTTCAGCAGAACTTCCAGACTAAGAAAGACTAGGAAGAAAGGCTGGAAATCTACTTCTGAAAAATCAGCCAATGAAAATCTTATTGCTCATAATGTTCTAGTCTTGTTGTGCATGGGGTCACCATGAGTTGGGGACCGATTCAATAGCAGCTAGCAACAACAACAACAACAGAACCTTACACCAAGGGGGCTCAATACGTATCTCTAGAAAGAATGAGACAGCAGGTTGCTATGAGGAGTACCTCTATGGCAGAAGAGATCCCTGCATCGTTGGGCCCCAAGATGCCCTGTTGCCATCAAGAGAACAGAGGGTCTACTCTGAGAAAGTCCACAGTATTTTCAGGGAGTCTTTAAAAATTGGAGGCAGTTTTCACCTTTGGAAAGTCTGTGATGCTTAGCATATACCTTGGATATCACAGAGGTGGTGTGACTCCAGAAAAGAGCAATCTTTAAAGCCCTGTCTTCCCTGGGTCACCGGGAAGGAGGTCTGGGCTCCATGGAAACGCACTTCACTCCTTTGTGATGAGGAGGGGCATATATTCTGGTGAAGTACGCTGACCTCACGGGACAATAGTATTTCCCAGTTTCTGTTACTAAGAGGGGTCCCTGGGTGATACAAATGGCTAAGCTACTTAGCTGCTAACCAAAGGTTAGAGGTGCCCCGGAAGAAAGTTCTGGGGATCTACTTCCCCCCAAACCTGTCATATAGATCACAGTTCTTCTCTGATGCACAGGGGCTTGCCATGAGTTGAAATTGACAATGGGTATTGTGAATTTCAACTCATTTACACACCTAGGAGACTGATGTGGCACTGTAGGGTAAGCACTAGGTCACAAGGTCAGTTTGAACGGCAAGGTTGATGGTTCAAATCCACCAGCAGCTCCTTGGAAACACTATGTAGACTCACTATGAACCAAATCAACAGCAATTAACACCAGCAGTATGTATTCCTAGGAGTCCTGGTATGGTGCTTTAGGATAAGCACTGAGCTGCTAACCACAAAGTCAGAGGTTCATATCGACCAGCTGCTCCTCTGAAACCCTACACAGGGTTGTTATGAGTAGGAAATGACTCGGTGGCACTTAACACAACATAACGAATAGATTCCTAAGAGGTCCTGTCCTGGTCTTTGGTCACCTGCACCTTCAGGGGCCACCACTGCTAACAGAGGGGCAGGAGTGAGAGTGGGTAGCTTTGGAGGATGGTGCTGGGCCTCAGGGAGCACTCAATGGATCAAAGCTGCAGAAAGGGCAGGGCTGGGTCACTCACTCTCCAAGTAGAACACGCCCACTTTGTCTGAGTCTGACATGGAAATGTAGAGAACCATCTCATAACCGGCTGGGAGGCGGTCAGGGCCTTTGGTCCGCAGGATCATCTGGGACATGTCCTTGAGGTCTGAGGGGCAGATGTACACAGTTAGAATGAGAGACCTGCTATGGAAATGTCTTACACAGACCTTTTACTTTTATAATTAGGGGAAAAGAAATCCCCAAACCTGGACATATACAGATTACAGAAGCTATAGTGAAGCATAAAGGAGAATAAAAATCAGAGATAACTAACTAACCTCCTAGTAACCTTTTGGGAATTTCCTTCCATTCTTTTTTTTCATGTGTGCATGTAATTTTTAAAAAACAGTTGCATTTGAACTGTTTTTAGTTTTGTCTTCTGCTTTTAGCAAGAGTAAATATTTGAGGCCACCATAAAGACACCAGGAAGAGTCTTGGTTTGGCACTATAGGATAAGCATTGACCTCAAGGTCGGTTTGAACTGCTAAGCTGGCAGATCAAACTCACCAGCAGCTCCTCAGAAACCCTATACAGGGTTGCTACGAGTCGGAACAAACTTGATGGCACTTAGCAACAAGCCCCAGGAAGCCCAAGTCCATAGCAGCCTCACTCCCAGCACCTCTCCTGACCCTCTCTCCCCCTCCCGCACTGCACACCTCCTTCCCTCCCCAAAGTGCGGGATTTTCTGGCACCTTCTTTACTGTAGACCTTCTCATCACTGAAGTCCTCCTTGGGTAGCCAGGGTGTGTCTCGGTCACAGTTCACCAGTAGAATGGCGCCCTGGCCCTGGGGACCCCAGGTCCAGGACGACTATGGGGGCAGGGAGAGAGATCAGTGAGATTTTTCCTACTTTCTGACAGACAGTCCCAACCCCATTGCAGAACCTGCAGGACATGGGTGAGCAGTTTCCGGTTGAGATGAAAGAGTACTTACTGGAGCGGCCGTGACCTGGCAACTGCGAGTCCCAACTCTGATGCCCAGGGAGGATCAATGCAAGAGTCAAAGTCAAGTTTAGGTGGTAGACGTGGCAGAGAGACAGGGAGGCTGAGTGGGCATTAGTGGAGGGAGTGGACAGGGAGGCAGAGGGCAAACAGAGAAACCAGAAGAAAGACACTCTGGACAGGCCAATGCTCCTAGAGGGACACGGGGGAGACACTTGGGTGGATAGACACCCAGTTCTTTTCAAACAGATTTCCAGGGTTTCAGGGGGACCTGCAAGGTGATCTGCCTTTGACACTGCAGCCAAAGTGAGGCTAAAACCAACTCCACCTGCCCTTGTGTGTCTCCCTTTAAGACCTGTTAGGGTATCCTCTTGATATCGGATGAAATCCCAAATCCTCATGTGGCCAGCAAAGCCCTTCAAGACCTGCTGACTTTGTCACATCCTCTACCTTCCCCTTTGCTCTTCCCCAAAGACTCCAAACTCTTGGGTCTTTTCCCACTCTCTACTCTATGCCTGGGACACTGTCCTGCCTGCCTTCACCTGGCCAAAGCTCCTCTTCTTCCCTGTCTCAGATAATCCATCAGTCCTTTCTTCCAGAAAGCCCTTCCAAGTCTCCTGACCAGACAGCTTCCCTGGACTTACACCCAGGACAACAGACACATCCTTGGTTAGAGGACATAGGGCAATTGTGGTGACAGAGCCCCTATGTCATTCTCTATTTAATGTGGGTTTCTGCCACCGAGCTGTGGGCTCCCTGAGGGCAGGAGTTTCAACTTTCTCATTCTTTCTGCATCTCCAGAGCCTGACCCAGAACCGGAATAGAAAAGATGCTCAACAAATACTTATGGAAGAGTGAAGAAACTGTGACAATATCATTGGGCCCAAGGTGGAGAAATTCAGGCCAAATTCAGGTCCACAGGGCTTGGTGACTTGGCCAAAGTCACAGGGCCCTTGGGAGGATGTGAGCCTTATCCCAGGGCTGAGGATCTCAAAGGCCTTGGTGAAGTTGATTGTCACATGTCTTCACGGAAGACCCAGAGAACAGGGATGATCAGGCTTCTTATCAAGAATGGGAGGTCGAAGTGGCTTCCCAACATACCTAAGGTCTCCCTGCCCTACATGCAGAGAATCTGGGTGGGCCACTAGACTCCAGACTTGTGACTGGCTATATGAATTTATATATTTTTCTAAAGTATTAGTCTATTTATGACTGCATCTAAGCTTTTGGTTTTATTATAAAAGTAACATATGCACAGGGAAAATGTTTAAATGATACAGAAGGACAGAAAATGGAAAGGTGTACACACAGATGGAACTTAAACCAAGTTGAGTTTCTGTACATAGAAAATCCCAAAGACCTAGCAAAAAAGTTATTGGAACTCACTGAAAGATTCAGCCAAGTGGCAGGGTACAAGATCAACATACAAAAATCAGTTGGAGTCCTTTACACTAATAAAGACAGTTCTGAAAAGGAAACCAGGAAAACAATACCATTTACAATAGCTCCCAAAAGATGAAATACTTCAGAATAAATCTACCCAGAGAAACAAAAGACCTATACAACCTATACAAAGAAAACGATGAAATACTTCTATAAGAACTCAAAAAAGACCTTAAAAAAATGGAAGACTATGCCATACTCATGGATAGGAAGACTTAACACTGTGAAAATGTTTACACTATCCAAAGTGATTTGTAGATATAATACAATCACAATCCAGGTTCCAATATAATTCTTTAAAGAGATAAAGAAACCAATCACTAACTTTATATGGAAAGGAAAGAGACCCTGGGTATTCTTCTTTAGTAAGCAAAGCATTACTAAAGAAGAATAAAGTAGGAGGTCTCTCACTTCCCGATCTCAAAACCTATTACACAACACAGCCAGTGTTCAAAACAACCTGGGACAACAAAAGACGGAGAACTGAGAATCCAGAAGTAAATCCATCCACATAAGATTAGTTGATCTTTGACAAAGGGCCAAAACACAACAAGTGGGAAAGAGATACTTTCTTCAACAAATGGTGCTGGCAAAATTGGAAATTCATTTGCAGAAGACTGAAACAAGACCCATATCTCACATCATATACAGAAACAGATTCACATGGATTAAAGATCTAAATGCAAAACCTAGAACTATAAAGATCATCAATGAAAAATTGGGACAAACTTAGGGGGTCTGTTACATGGCCTAAATACACTATCACACATAACTGAAAACACACAAACAGCACAAGATAAAATAGATGACTGGGACCGCCTAAAAATTAGACACTTATGTGCATCGAAAGATTTCACCAAAAGAGTAAAAAGGATCCACAGTCTGGGAAAGTTTTTTTGGCAATTACATATCAGGCAAGTGGTTAGTCTCTAAGATTTATAGAAAACTTCACCTCAACAAGAAAAAGACAAATAATCCAATTTAAAAAATAGAGGATATGAATAGACACTTCACCAAAGAAGACATTCAGGCAGTCAACAAACATATGAAGAAATGCTTGTGATCATGTCGAGTTGGTTCCAACTCATAGTGACCCTATATAAGGTTTCTGAGGAACAGCTGATGGGTTTGAACTGCCAACCTTATAGTTAGCAGTCCAGTGCAGATCCCAAAGTGTCACACCAGAAGTGCTGCTATTAGCCATGGTGGTGCTGATAGTTATGTGCCGTGGAGTCACTTCTGACTCATAGTGACCCTGCATAGGATTTCCGAGGCTGTAAATCTTTATGGGAGCAGAAAGTCTCTTCTTTCTCCCACGGGACCGCTGGTAGCTTTGAACTGCTGACCTTGAGGCTACCAGCCTGACTCGTAATCACTACACTACCAGAACTCCTTGCTATTAGCCATAGAGAGATGCAAATCAAAGCCATGAAATAGCATCTAACTTTAGCATTAATAACAAAGTTAAAAACAAAGCAGAATACAACAATTTTTTGCTAGTGAGGGTGTGGAAAGACTGGGACCCTCCTAAACTGCTGGGGGAACTGTGAAATGGTGCAACCACTGCGTAAAATGGAATGGTGCTTTCTTAAAAAGTTGAAAATAGAAAAACTTATGATGCAGCAATCCCTACTTGGTATATATACTTAAGAAACAAGAGCCAGGATATGAGTAGAGATATGGACACCCATGTTCAGTGCAGTGCTATTCGTAAGAGCAAAGAGATGGAGACAACCTAACTGTCCATCCATGGAAGAACACATATATAAACTTTGGAGCATACACACATGGAATATGACGCAATGTTGAAGAGTAACGATGGATGAATTTGCAAAACACTTCATAATACGGATGAACCTGAAGGACATGCTGCTGGGTGAAATTAATTAATCACAAATGGACAAATATTGCATGAGACCACTGCTGTAAAAAATTATGGAAAGGCTTTCAAGCTAAAAGAAACATTCTTGGATGGTTTCCCAGCGATGGCTAGAGGGTTGTCATTATTATTAAGTGCCATTGAGTTGGTTCTGACTCACAGCAATCCTGTATAATGTTTCTGAGGCTATAAATCTTTGCAGGAGCAGAAAGCCTTATCTTTCTCCTGCAGAGCAGCTGGTAGGCTCAAACTGCCGACCTTGTTCACAGTTCAGTGTTTATCCAACAGAATCACTATGCTCCCAGCTAGAGGTTAAGCAAGCTTTAATTTGGGTGATAGGAAAGGTGATAAGAACAAGAAAAGAAAAAAAGCATTGTGTTGAGGTGGAGGGGGTGGGAAGCAGGGAATGGAAAACAGACTGAGAACACAATGTTATCATCACATGCATACTAACCACACCTCATGTTTTGCAAGAATCAGAACAGAAAAGAAACACATTAACCCCATTAAAATGGTTGTTTGTGGGGAGAATGGGAGTGTGTGTGTGTGTGTGTGTGTGTGGTGCAGGAATAAAAGAGAATGAATGAATAAATAAATAAATGAATGAGTGATGAATAAATAAATAAATGAATGAGTGAATGAATAAACCAGGGAAGGGGCTGTGCATGAACCACTGAAGAGAATGTGCCTTGAATATCTGTGGCTGGGGAAACTGAGACTTGGGACCTGCTCAGTGGCTAATGATTTGCTGTGTGTTGGGTAGCCTGCCATGGGCCTCAGTTTCCTCACCTGTGAAGTGGGGTTTCCTGAGATTGGTGGGAGGATCCTACCTCTTGCAGGATCCAGTTTGGGGCTCTTGTCCTTGGGAACCCCACCCTGCCCTCAGTTCAGGGTCATGTCTGTCTTGATAGCTAGGTACCTTCCGTGGGTTGTTCTTCTCCACCACGCCGTCTCGGTCAGCATCCACATCCAGAGAGATCTCTGGGAACAAGACATGTGGGTGAGTTGTGGAGCCTGCTAGATGGAGTGGGGGCAGGGTAGGAGGAAGACACGTGGCATTAGAGGACAGCTAAGCTATTTGCTTGGTTACTAGAAAAAGAGGACCTTGCTGAGGTCATCTTTTCCTACTCCCTGCGTCAACATACCCTCCTTCTTGAGGCAGATCTTGAGTAAGGCTTTACAGCTTACAATGCACTGGTTAGGTGGACCCCTGCAGGGGCAGGTAGAGATCTTCCACCATCTCAACTTTCCTTACTCACAACTACTTGGTGGGTGGAGTAGTCCTCTCTGCCCAGAGCTGGGAGCCCTGGTTGAGAGAGGAAGTCACCTAGGCAGAACCAAGATGGACTGCAGATGGCCTGACTCAAAGTCTATACTTGGAAATGTTCAGGCACAGGGTTCCATACCTGCCTTTCCTAATCTATTTTGTGTGTGTCCTTTTGCATGCATGCATGTGTTTGTGCACACACACGTGTGTGAATGCACATGTGTTTCTGCATTTGTGTGTATTTGTGTTTGTGTGCATGCATGCCCCTCTCTTTCAGAATTCCCAGTGATCTAGATCCCATCTCCAAGGACTGAAGGTTTCATCTGGGTAGAAACTGCAGCTCTGTCCCCTCTTAACCTGAGGGTGCCCATGAGGCCAAGTTTTCAGACAGAAGACCCAGAGTGGGGCACCTGCATCTCCTTCCTGTTGGGGAAGGACCTTTTGGTATCCCTAGGTCTGTCATGAGGACAGGCTTCTTGGAGATTTAGCAACTGACTCCACGGCACATAACAACAACAACAACAACAGTGCTGGGTTTAGTGCAGGCTCTCTGTTTACCAGCTGTGTGACTTTGTGTAGATTAGACAGCTTCTCTGAGCCCCAGCTTTGTCAGCTGTAAAATGCAGCCCTTTCTGGTTACAGCAGTTGCAGTAACTGCGAGAGTAGGCACTATTACCATCTCTGTTGTGGGCACTGTCCTGTGCATTGTGAATGTTCAGCAGCCAATAGCATCCCCCACTTGTGTCAGCCAAAACCGTCTCCAGACATTGTCAACTGTCTCCTGGGAGGCAAAAGTGCGCCCTGAATTAGAGACTATCTGGGGAGTTGTTGGGAAGGTGCCAGGAGGGTCACTCCAAATGAGATGACCTTATTCCAGGCTCCGTGAGCTGCCCAAGTGGGCTTGCCCTCCTGCTGAGCATGACTTGGACGCAGTGGGAGCTGGGTGGGAATGAATGTGTTCCTAGTTAGTCCCCTTGACAGATGCATCCTTGCCCTGATAGGTGGGGAGGAAGGTCTGGCACTGGAAAGACACTGATGTCACCCTTGCCTGGGTGGCTCAGCCTGATGAGTCCAGGGACTACATTCTGGTCCTCCCATTACTCATGGCCTGATTCCTTCCCAACCCTGAGTGTGGCTTCTGTGAATCTAAAGGGAGGCAGGAGAGTGGAGGCTTTAAGGACGCCTGGTCCTTGGGAGAGGAAGTCGTCCTGTGAGTTAGATGCTGTAAGGCACACTTTTATAAAACCCTCTCATAACTCCTATTCATTTATCCCATCATTCAACAAATAACTGTTGAGCATCTCCTATGTTCCAGGCACTGTACTGGGCAGTGGGGAGCCAATGCTGGGCACCAGAGGTGCAGTGCCTGCTCTCCAGGTGGGCAAATCCAGGCTCTGAGAAGTTATGTGTGGGCAAATTGGGTTGACCAACTGAGAGGCTGATGTAGGAGTATTCTATAGAGTAAGAAGGGAAGATGGTAGCTCTGATTGCTGCCCAAGAAACTGAAGGTTCAGATCAGGGAACAATATTGGTTTTGGCTCTCAAGACCTTCAGAGCTTTCCAGTCAGACACACTCCAGTGAATGGTGCCTTTCAGGGAGGCCAGCTTTCCTCAGCTTCACCCTGGGAACTAGCTGTAAACCCAGGCCATCTCTCTCTCTCTTTTTCATTATTTAGAGACTACTTTATTAGTTTCTGTAATCAAACCCATGTAGATAAGACCTTACATATTTAATACAGTGCATTACCCCTGTACAAATGGAAAAAAAAGTTTAACAGTTCTAGACCAATATGGCTGTTAATTTCTGTACCATGCCAACTCAACACAGTACAACTGGGATACTTTTTCCAAAGTTGACAGCACAGCTAAAGTTTCCAAAATTCAAATTATATATATATTTGTATATATAAAGACAAATCACAATGCTATGCATCAATAGCAGTGACAGCTTTTCCAGGTGCGGCAGTCATCTGAACAAAATTATAGAGACATCCAGCACACTCCATTAAAAAAAGAAAGGAAAAATTATCAAACAAACCCTCCGAAAACAGCAAAGTTCTGTTATTGTTGTGGTACCTGGCACCATTTAAAAACATTTTTAAAATTAGCTTCTCACTAAAAACATCCTAGAATAATGTCATTAAAATAGCTCTGATACAGCACAGTCACTATTACATCTCATAAAGCAGGTACAAGATATTTTACATTCACAGAGGGATGCTACAGAATGGTCCTACATCTAAAATACTCGAGGAAACAATTTAAAAGGCATTATTTGAGACTTGATTCTACTTTCCAGCAGAGGGCCCAAAGGATGGGACAGAAATGCACTGTCTTAGATCGGATTTACAGGCCCTCTCTTTACTTTTCCAGGTGAAATCTTTCCCAGGAGACTTGTTCACTCTTGTCAGTTGCTGATCTCCTGGAATTCTCCTCACTACCAGTCCCAACCCCACAGAGGAGAAGACCCAGGCTCCCAGCAGCCAAGTGACTATGGAAGCAGGCATCTCTCTCCAATGTGGGGTTCGTTTTGCTGCTCTCTCCATTATTGTCCCTGGAGAAGGATGTCATGCTTAGTAAAGCCGAGGACCAGTGAAAAAGAGAGAGACCCTCAATGAGATGGATCAGTACAGTGGCTCAGACAAGGTGGTGCAGGACTGGGCAGTGTTTTGTTTTGTATTCACAGGGTCATTGTGAGTTGGGACAGACTCAATGGCACCTAATAACAACCACAACCAACAGGTCCAGGCTGGTCTCTGGCTGGCTCAGGTTGACTTCTGGCCTAAGTTTAGGTTCCACATGCCAAGCCTGCCTTTAAAGACCCATGGCTAGCTCTCAGTAGGCCATTCCCACCAGAGCCTGGTCACGTCCCACCTTGGCGGGTCTTAGTTTCCAGCTTACAAGGTGACCCTTGTGAAGGGGCATCGAGGCTCCTTATGGCATGTCCATTCAAGCAGCAGATGGCAGGAGAGAAATTTTAAGTGTTTTATTTCATCGTAACTTTCTAAAACTTTACAATTTTATCATGTGCTATTTGCATATTTGGAATGCTGGTGGGTTAATGCGCTGGACTACAAAGTCGGTTTGAACCACAAGGTCGGCGGTTCAAGTTCACCAGCCACTCCTCGGAAACCCTATACAGGGTCTTTATGGGTTGGAACTGACTCTACAGCACTTAACAGCGACAACATTGGCATATAGTGTAAAACAGTCAAATCATACCCCAAACCTTCTGAAGAAAAGCAGAACTTGCTTGTCCATCCCATTTCCTTACCCGTTGGAGCCTATCTCCCTCATACTAAGCAATACATTTATTGTTAGTTCTCGATATATTAATTTTAGCATTTTAACTGACTTCCTGTTATGAAATCTTCATATTTCATAATTTGGCTCTATTTATCACTCTCCTCTAAACCTTCCCATGGGGCTTCTGGATTTTTCTCTGATGCCCCACTAGCCTGAGTCCCCTCCTGTAGGACAAGCATCTTCCTTCAAGCCACGGGCCAGCCCTCTAGGACTTTTGCTCCTCTTTAACACTGTCCCCATGTCTGATTTAATTGGATTCCAGTAGGGTGATCCGTGCAGGGAGAGAGAATGAAATTGGCGTGACCTGCCCTCAGGGACAGGGACAGTTCTCCCTTCCCAGGGGAAGGAGTGGGAGGTCGTCTGCAGACATTTTCCAGAGGCTGCAGAACCTAGCTCAGCTCCCTAGAATAGCCCCGAGGTGTCGGGTGGCGCCTGGAGTGTAGGGCAGATTAACGGGAAATGTCACCAGGATTGTGTTCAAGGCAGCCTGCCCTGAGAATTAAGACACCAAGGCCTCAGTTGCAGCCCAGGCATTTTGGCGAGTCACTGGTCCCATGGACAGTGGCAGGGTGCCCAATCTTTTGGCCTTGCCTGGCATTTTGGGGTATGGCATGGAGGAAGGACATCACCCTCTCTGCCCCCTTGACCCCCACCCCAGCCAACTGGGGCAATTAACCTAGGTTCTGGGGAAAGGGCACAGGAATAAGTTCTTAGGTGGATGCTAAAAATTCTTGAGGTTCATGTATATATATTGCTCCCATGTTCAGCGTCATAGCAAAATGGGTGGGATCCTTCCTCTTGACTCCCCTCCCTTCCCACTTTCCCCTTCAGTAGGGTAAAACAAAAAATAAAATCGGAGTCAATTCCAACTCCTGTGTCAGAGTAGAGCTGTACTCAATGAGGTTTTTGAGGATGGGTTATTTGGAAGTACGTTGCCAGGACTTTCTCCCAAGGTGCCTCTGGGGAGACTTGAACCTCCAGTCTTCCGGTTAGCAGCAGAGCGCATTAACCCAACTTGCATCACTCAGGGACTCCTTTCAATAGGAAGGGCTTTTGCAAATCAGACCTAATCTGATCTTGGAGTCTAAAGGGACCAATTAGTGCAATATTTTGGCTTTTGTATTGCTAAGTGCCATCAAGTTGTCTCCAACTCACAGTGAACCTGTATAGGGTTTCTGAGGAGCGGCTGGTGAGTTTGAACTGCTGACATTGCAGTTCAAACCGACCTTGCGGTCTAGTGCTTATTCTATGGTGCCATACAAGGGTACCATTTCCCAGTCTCCTGGGGAGACTGAGGCTCTTCAACTCCAGGGAGAAAATGTGGTGACCCCAGGAGGAGGGGAGAGAGGAGAGCAAGAACTGAGCATCCTGACTCCTTGTCATCATGCAAGGCGCACTATGAACCTGATGAGGAAACAGGCTCAGAGGTGACTTGCCCATCGTGGCAGGAAGGAGAAGAGTCCGAACTCAGTCATATTTCTGTCTCCTCTGAAGCCAGGGCTCTTTTCGCTCACATGTGTTCAATACAGAAACAGGATGGGATCGACTCAGATACAACGTGGGGCAGTCCTGCCATCTTGGGGTGTCCATGCCTCTGAGGCATTACCCTGAAATGATTAGTCAGAATGTGGGTTCAGGGTTCCTGGGTAGATGCCTGAAGTAAGACAAGAGCTGGTGGAGTCAGTTAGACCAAGTGCAATCAAATTTGCATCCAGGTCCTCAGTGGAGCATGAATTATAAATTCATTGGGGTGAGTTTTTCATAAAACTTTATGCCGTGTAAATGTTGGTCTTTTTTTTTTTTTAATGTTTTATTGTGAATTATGTGATAGTTTACAAGGGAGAACATTAGTTTTACATTCATCCTATTGTATATCGTTTCATTACCATGGTTATAATGCCCTCCATGCATCATCAAAGGGTATACACTACAAGCCTGCCCCCCAGTCATCAGCACACAGTCCCTCTCCCTCTCTGGTCTAAAGTCCCCAGCTGCTCCATCTCTCCACATCGTCTCTGCCTCCATCTCAGGCATCACTGTAAATGCTGATCTTTTATTCTGAGATTATGTCCTGCCCTGCTTACAGTTTACGTGTTAAAATAGCCCTTTTTCATCAGATGATATTGATAGTTAATGAGAAATTGTTCTATTGCTCTCTTCGCAATCCCTCTCCCAAGAATAAAAGTCATAGTCTTATGCAATTTCCTCTCTTTTTTTTTTTTATTGGAGGGACAATTTTACTGGCCTGTGTGGAATCTCAATATTTGAGAAACTGACAGTTAAGTAAATAATTGGTAAATGGAGGTTGAAGGAACACGGGTGGTAAAGGTTAAGTGCTCAGCTGGTAACTGAACAATTGGTAGTTCAAACCCATCCAGTGGCTCCGATGGAGAAAGACCTCGTGATCTGCTCTTGTAAAGACATTGCTAATTCACACTGGCCCTACAAAACTGAAAATCTGTTGCTATCGGCTTGATTCCAATTCATAGCTGAGCCCCCATAGAAGAGATCAGAACGGCCCCATAGGGTTTCTGAGGCTGTAATCTTTATAGAAGCAGACTGCCACAGTGTTCTCCCAGAGTGGCCTATGGGTTCTAACCACCAATCAGTTGGTTAGCAGCCAAGTGCTTAACTACTAGGGCTTCCATAAAGATTGTTGTTGCTGTTAAAAAAATCGGTTCTGACTCATCACGACCTTCCATAAAGATTGCAAGCTTGGAAACTGTATGGGGCAGTTGTCCCTTGTAGTTCTGGGGCCATGATAAGTAGGAAATGACTTGGCGGCATCTGACAATAACAAATGTCAATAACACCCTCCTTCAACAAGCTTCAGAAGGATGGCTTGGTTATTTATCACAGATTTGGAATCTTTGGGCTCAACCTGGCTGTTCCTCTGACCACAAGCCTTGAAGTCTGTGGTGGAGACGAGTCCAAACCTGTCTCCTGACAGAGCACCTCCTGGGACCAGGGGTTTTGAGGCCCTGGCAGCCTATTCTGCCAAGTCTGTCTTGCTTTGGTGGAAGCCCCGTTAATGGCTTGTTCACCCTCCTTCAACAAGCCTCTGGCCACTGGCCCTTCAGCTTCTGTCCTCAGGTGTCCCTGCTGCACTGTGGCTGTGGGATCAGGTTTCCTCAGTGACAGTCACCTGAGACAACCTGGGGGCTAGATGTGTGTGAGAGGTTCATACACATGCTAGGACCAGCCATGACCCAGGGCCCTCAAGTCATCCTGCGGTTCTCTTCCTCCATGCAGACTGAGAGGCGGGCTGTCCAGCCGCCCAGCCGGCTGGGAATTCACTGGCAAGTCAAAAAGCACTCCTACTGAACCTACTTCATCAGCAAGGAGTGCAGGACTGGAGTGGAGGGGCTGGTGAGGGAGCTAGCTGCTTTGTGGGGAGAGGGAGTCCCAAGACCCCAGGGGGATGTGAGAGAACTGAACGGACCTGGGGTCCAAATAATAGCTTTCCAGCTGTGTGGTCTCAGGCAAATTCATGCTGGTTTGATTTCGTTTTTCTGAGCCTAGGTTTTCTCATCTGCAAAATGGGGATAATAATAGTTCCTATGGTGTGGCGCTGTGGGATAATGTACTGGACTACAAGATCAGTTTGAACCTCAAGGTTGATGGTTCAAATGTACCAGTTGCCCGTTGGAAATCCTATACAAGAGTGCTATGAATTGGAACCAACTCGATGGCAGTTAACAGCAACAACATCATTGGAATAAGAAGTCCTAGTGGTACTGTGGATAAGCACTGGACTGCTAACCAAAGCTGGTGGTTCAAACCGGGCTGTGTTTTATTCCATTGTGTATTGGGTCACCATGAGTTGGGGACAATTTCCAACCAAGTGGCTCCATGGGAGAAAGATGAGGCTTTCTACTCTTGTAAAGATTTACAGGAAACTATAGAGGGTCCTGGGGTGGCAGTGTGGGTTAATGTGCCAGACTGCAAAGCCGTTTGAACTGCGAGGTCGGTGGTTTAAGCTCACCAGCAACTCCTCGGAAAGTCTATAGAGGTTCGCTATGGGTCAGAACTGACTAGACGACACTTAACAACAACAACAGCAATAGAGGGTTGCTGTGAATAGGAATCTTCTCCACAGCACTGGGTCTTTGGTATCTTTGCAGTAAGGAACCCTGGTGATGCAGTTATTAGTGCTTGAGCTCTGGTAGTGTAGTGGTTATGAATTGGGCTGCGAACCGCAAGGTCATCAGTTTGAAACTACCAGCTGTTCTGTGGGAGAAAGATGAGGCTTTCTGCTCCCGTAAAGATTTACAGCCTCGGAAACCCTGTACAGGGTCGCTATGAGTTGGAACTGACTCCATAGGTTGGCACCAACCAGCTGCTCCCCAGGAAAAGGATGAAGCAATTGCATCTATGAAGATTACAGCCTTGGAAACCCCAGGACATTTCTAATCAACTCAATGGCAGAAAATTTGGTTTCGGAGTATCCTTGGAGTTAGGCACCCAACTACGAACTAAAAGGTTGGCTCAAGTCCACTCAGAGGCACCTCAGAGCAAGACCTGTCAGTCTATTCCCCAATTTTGTCCTTGAAAACTTAACAAAGTACTGCCCTACTCTGATGCAAACTGGGTTGCTCTGAGGTACAATTGATTTCATGGCAGTTAATGAAAAGTTTTTGTTTTTAATTTTCTTTTAAAATTATGAAAGTAATACTTCAACTGTAAAAGAGTCCAATGACTGAGGGTCCAGTGACCCTCCTATCCCAGGTTGAGCCCTCCTACCCTTGAAGGCAGATCTGGCTCCAAGATTGGGCAATGATGTACAATAGAAAGAACCTGAGCATCTGGACCCAACCTGCCACTGAGTTGCTGTTTGACTTTGAATGAATTCCCTAACCTCTCTGGGCCTAATTGTCCTTGTGGGTCAAATAAGAAGCTTGCGCTGGACTGCATCTCTGAGCACTCATGGCTGGGTCTCAGAAGGGCAAGTGGGTAGCTGGATTATCAGGACCTTGTCCCCATGAGAGGGAAGCTCTTCTCTAGGCTGGGGAGGGATGGGGTAAGGGGATGGACCTCCCACTTTCTCCTCCATGGACCACAGAGCCTCTGACAGTGACCCTGACAGAGCAGGAAGCCCCCCACCCGGTGGCATAGGGCCTGGATTATTCAGAAGAAGCTACTAGTATCAGAGCCTGGGCAATGAAAGCACTTACCAATGGCCGTGAGGAAGAGCCCCGCCTGGTCAATGAGAGTCTTCGCCTCCTGCTCATAGTAGCTGACGGTGACCTGGGTGGGAGGGGGCACATTGGGAGGGAGAGAAGAGCAGAGATCATTGGCAGGAACACATGGGTGAGCCCTCCACACCTCACTCAGACCTTACAACCTACCAAACCAACCCTTTGGATGTTCCAATCAGTTCCTCCAAGAAGCGCCTCTGGGTTGGTGGGCTGCTGCTCCGAGATCACTAGCAGTGCATCCCCTCCTCCCAGAGAACATCAGGCACCATCCGCTTACCTGTGCCCACACACTTTCTGTCTACCTGAGCTCCCTGTGGGGCCCCACACCTGCCATGTTGTATGTCTGTTGTTATGTCTTGTTGAGTTGGTTCTGACTCAACAACCTCACCTTTTTAAAAAAAAAATGTTTTATTGTGAATTATGTAATAGTTTACATGTGAGAACATTAGTTTCACATTCATCCTATTATTGTATATCGTTTCATTGCCATGGTTACAATCCCCTCCATGCATCATCAACCAACCAAAGGATATACCCTGCAAGCCTGC